TAGTCGCTTTTGTAATGCTTCTTCCTCGTCCCTTTGCCTTTTTCTCCATGTTGCAAGACTCAGCGTCTTTCTTGTTCTCTTTTTGGGACGAGCTGTAGAAGGATTTATTCCTCCAGAAGAAAGTAGACGGACATCCCCTTCATTTAAATTGGCTATAGGAGTAATGGCATCTGCTTGGTGTTCTCTGGAACTTGAATGCCCCAGGACTTCCTGGTGTACTCTATCTTCTAGATTTCTCTTTGCCAGCTCGATCATATGCATAACATCTTTATACTGAATCTGTTTATCTCGTTTAGTCACGACACTTTTCGTTTCAGAGTGAAGCAGTGCTTTATCAACGGTAATGTGTGTCCCCTTTTCTGTGTCTGTGCTGTGTCTTTGTTTGGCAATAGCCTTTGAGACCGGGACATAAAGTTCATTACTTTGTCTCCGGGAAGACGAATCGGTATTTATTTTGAGAATTAGCGGACGATTTGGATCTTGGCGTTGTGCTTTATTCTTATCTTCCAATTCATTTTTTCTCGAAGATTGCGGCGAGCACTGTCTAAGAAAACATTTACAACTGACGTCTTTACATGTTATGTTTGGTAAAGATTTTATTGGCGAGGGCTCGTTGAGCATTTTCATTAAAACACTGGGGGCGTCTGGGCTTCTCGAATTGGAAGTATCATCAGCAGTCCTATTCTTTTGTTTCTTCTTGCAACGTGTTTTAACACTGCTTTTCTTTTGGAATGTATTGTTTATATTAAGCGTTGAAGAACTTTGCCCATTTTCGTAAAATGGTGATGAGTTACTTAACATTTTAGGGGGTGGCGAAACTGAAGCTGTTAGGGTAGATCTACCCAAACATTTGGGTCCCAGGTCTAGTATTAGATTCGAGGATCCGTCATCAAATCCTTCCATACCGTTTTTTTAATTTTATTCAAGGGATATTAGTACCTTCAAAAGAAAGAAAATTGTAATAATTGGCTACTATGTTACATTCCAAACAACTCAAGCAGACTTATGACTATGTACCGCCAGACTCGGATTAACATTTACTTTTACTCTTCTGACTTTGCGTAATTCCTTTTGTAAGATTTCTACAAAACAACACTGTCAACAGTAAACTGTGTGTTTATGTTTGTTGATATTTCATTTGAAAATCCATGGCTCAAAATGAGGAACACTGGCTGGAGTTAGATTACAGATTAGGCCCTACACATCAGCAGAATGAGAATGGTGCATTGATTATGGACCTTCTTTAAAAAATAGAGAATTTAGTTAAGAACTTACACTTTGATTCAGCAATCACAAATGAAATAACGTTTCAATTAATTTCTGTGGGCTTTTGATAAACTCTTTGCCTCTTAATAGCTCTCAAAACAAAAACCATTAACAATAACCTGATGACCACCTTCCGAAACATAACAAAACTTGTCAACAGTGCTCGCCATGTTTTGACGTCATAGCAACGTTCTGACGTAATATGTTACAAAGAGGTTCACATTGGACTTTAGAAACCTGCGTCATTTGGAGCTGGATAGGGCGGTGCTGGTTGAGAAAGGATGTCCCATCTGGCGGTCCACAACAATACATAATATTATTTAGCCCAAAGACTTGGTGTTATCAATTTCGCTTACATAGAACTGAACAAATTGTCATATCGTAGCTTTTTAATTACGATAGTAATTTTATAGTGTATCAATTTGGATGTGTCTACTCGAAGTCTGAGGCTCTGAGCTGCAACATTCTTTGAATCGCTGAACTACAGAACTACAGAAAAAAATTCTTTAGAATTTTTCAGGTCATAATCAGTTTTGAATAATAAATTTCGTGGATTTCGATAAAATTGTGGAAGTTTTGTTATTGTCGCAGACCGTGCATCAGAATGTAAGGGGCAAATTGAAAGAAAATATTCAGTCTTCAAAAGCGTGACCACAATCGCAAGGGCTGTCAGAAATGTGTCTGGGAAGCCTCAGAAAACGATGTCCGTTCAAATCACTGCAAGAGAGTCAAGGCGAGAATGGAGAATTTGATTTTTCCTGCTGTCAGAGTGTAACACCATGGGTCTTTCGTCAGACGTGGAGAGCGGGCGTTGGAAAACCGGTCGCCACATCCTACGTATGGCCCATGCATCTTTTCTTACTTATTTTAGTAGCCTTAAATGTGATCGTCTAGAATTTGTCTCTAGCTGTCTTTGCGTCTGCTTCACGTTGGGTATTTACTTCTTACTGTTTTCTTAAGACGTCTGTATTCTCAGTAGTTACAACAATGCAACAGTTCGTGTTTACATTTTATATATCATAGCTGGATACATGGATACAAGCATAGTATAGATTACAAAAGAAAAATCATTCTCTCAAACCTCATTCGGCCAGACTCGCTGGTGTTATATCTTTTCCTTTCTGGATCAAGTTGTTGTCTAACGAATTCTCACAAATATGATAGTTTTGTAGCTTGGGTTTTGACGTTCAATTATCTAATTGGTCAAATATGATGTAAATAATTAGAGAGATTGGTTAATTGGGCCAAATGACGTCGACACCCTCCCTTATATGGTTAAATGGAAATTCACTGGAGAAACTTCCCATGAGATATCTGTTATCATCCTAGAATTGAATGTTTACCACATTATAACTCTTTTTTTATATAACAAGTTAATTTAAGTACATACTACATATCTACATATGTGAATCTAATAACTCGCCAAAGATAATAATTAGTACAATACAATGCCATCATTAATTTCAAGAGCAAAAATTCTACAAGGAGTGTTACAAGAGTAGTATCTTGAAGGTATTTATAAGTTGGTCAAGGTAGCTGAGTTTAGATTTAAACGGGGGCATATAAAGTTTCTTTTAGAAAGATCGAGTTGATTCCATTCTCTAATTGTGGATGCTATAGGGGTGTCAAACTGATTTCGATTCAGATACATGAACTAAAGTTTTACATCAAGTGGGCAGGATATATAAAAAAAAAAGTATCAAGATAAAGAAAATTTTATTGATTTATTTGACTAAAATCGGTACATTTTATAATGCAATACATTTTGTATTACATACAGAGTCCTACGGGGCGCCGTTTGTAAAATAATTATTTAATTTTTTTATAGCAAAAAACATTAGATTTAACTCCGAATATATATATTTAGATAAATATTAGAACAAAAATGGCATATATGTAAATATCAAAAAATATTGTAGCTAAAGGTCGAGTTTTTGGTCTATGAAAAACTTTAAATGTTATATCTTGATTTCACATCGCTTAGCTAAATATATAAATGCTAAATATTAAATCACTGAAAAATCTAAAGTTAAATATTTAGCTAAACTAAATATATATTTGTGGTCCCGCCAATATTTCTATTATCGTAAGCGACACAAGAAACTGCGCATAAAATGATGACGTGTACCCGACACGTGAGCCTTGGCACAATAGGCCTACTAGCAATTAGAAATGGAAGCTGACCACGAACTTGTAACCCGAATGACGGCCGTTCGCACAGATCAAGGCAATGAGGACGTCCTACCTACAGGTGAACTTCAGGGAAAGTTGTACACTACGTCATCGTTTAGCGTGAAGTCGCTTACAACAATAATTATTTTACAAACGGCGTGGTACGGTTGCGCTTTGTAAATTTAACTATATGTTTAGCTAAATATATAATTATATAAATATTTAGCTAAATATATATTATTTAGCTAAATATATATTATTTAGCTAAATATATATATATCATCAAATCTCTTTTTTTGGTCTTAAAATATTCAATGTAAATGTTAAATATGAAAATAGAGACAAATCAAGAAATATTTATATATATTATGTTAAATATTGAGTGTTTGTTGTATTTTTAGTTTAAATATTAAAAGTGAAAAATTTGCACAAAAGTCGAGATTTAACTATATATATAAATTTAAATTAAATCTAGTGTTTTTTACTATATAAAAAGCTAAATAATTAATTTACAAACGGCGCCCCATAGAGTACAAGTCAGTTTGTTGAAATTTGTGCCACGGGTCACATTTAAACCCTTGGCGGGCCATATGTTGGACTTAGACACCCTTTTAAAGAAGAAGAAAATAATAAACAAAAATCTGCAGAAATGTGTTGGGGTCGACGTTGCTTAAATTTGGTTTCGTATAGGCCTACTATAATTTATATTGGGTATATAATACGTTGAAACAAGTATTCGGGAGTGAAATTATTAAGGGACAGGTCTCCTCTATATGGGGGTTATAATTAAAAATAGAAACAACTGGTAAAGGCTTTATAATAAGTTTATGTCATAGCTAGAGATCGAGATATGGGGTGTAACGTCCACTCGACACAAACTAGGGCATTTCGGGACTAACATATGGTTCAATTTTATTTTAATAATTGCGCGTAGGGGTCTTTAGCAGTGGGAGGAAACCGGGGGACCCGGTGAAAACCCACGCGGTTGGACAGGCGACCCTATAGGCCTACTCCTTGCCACCCTACGTTCGTTATATTTGTTGTATTGTATTAATGTTCGTTTATTTGTTACATGTATTTGTTGTATTGTATTAATGTAATTTTTGTAATTGTAAGCTGCTCCTCGTGGGCGTTTTATGCAATAAATTTACTTACTTACTTAGGCCTACGTACTTACGTTGGCATGCAGTTGGAATTTGACGAAGAGTAGGTGGAAACGCCATTGTTCATGTCCCCGTGGAACCTTTCAATCATAATTGTACGGTATTGTCGGTAAGCTTTTATTCTGCCAATCAACACACTGAAATAAATATTTTGCAGTTCTTGGTGAAATACGGTAACTTTCCGTTTATTTTTGAATGTTTTTTAAAAAGGACCTACATCGTCAAGAAGTGAGAATTAGAGTGAAAAAAACACACCGAAACGAACTCCGGTCCGAATTTTTATTTCTATTATTTTTCTTTTTGAATTATCATCGTTATCTGATTACGGTTATAAAACACGTGTTCCAGTCCAGTGTTTTTACCGGGGAAGAAAGCCGCACTGAATTGTGGGTAAATTCGTAGAGTTTCACAACAACATGTCTCTCTTGTGCGTCAAGTCGGTGTATATAATTGCTTAGCAAAAGCAAGAATAACCATTTGGACCGTAGCAGTACAACAGTATGGACGATTTCTGCGGAGGTGAACCCGTCTGGGTAAGTAATATCCAACTCACTGTCATGCCATGGCGCCCTAATGCGTTTGTTTGGCGTAAAACAACCAACTGTCAAACTCAGTTATGTTATATAATCACCGAATCGAGCTGTAGTCAGCGAAGCGATAGGCCTAACCTTGCTGGTGCGTAACTATAGTACATGTATACGTTCGTACTTTTTTATACCTACAATGAACTGGGTCAAGTTTTTATACACGTGCGATTGAATATTAGGTCGTGATATAGCTGGTTGAATATATATTATTTTAAAGGGACAATAACACTCTTGCTGGCTTGAAAGCTCCAGAAAATAAATAATATCTCTATCTAAGTACTAGATGTTTAAGTGTCCTACCTGTTGTGTAAATTATCCATTACATCCTATTTTACTTGTCCAGAGGGTTCGAAAATATTTTTAAATCGAAGTTTCATTTGAAAAGGTTTACGTTAGACGTTTCAAACCATTGTTGAAATTTTCAAAATTTTAAAATAAGGTGTGTTAAGATGAAATTTGTATTATCAATTAATTGAAATATTCTAAAATAGTACAATTTGTTGACCAGAATAAAGATTGGGACATATTATTCAGTTACAACAAGAGTGGTATTGAGCCTTTAAGGAAAATAATTAAATGCCTGGACTTGAATTGCAAGGACATGGCATAATAATAATATTGTACTTCCTTCTAATTAACATCATCATACTTCATTAATTTTTGTCCCATAACTAGTGAGTTCTGGAAAATGAATTCTTGAAAAGAATATAGCATAAGCCTACCTGCGGACATTCTTGTAAGGCACGTACCAGTCACAAACATTGTCAAACATAAATTATTACGCAAGTTGACAAGTATAGGCCTACCGATATATGAAATCTGATAATTGATTGTGTCTGTGACAGATGCCTTATGTTCCAGGCTTGCCTGCAGGGGTGCTGGCAGAATCATACCCCAAAAAAGAAGCCAATTAAGGTCTCTTAATTTGCTGCCATGATTTGATTTAAAAGAGGCAAGTCTTTAACTCAATTAATAACACCCACAGTCTTTGACATTGCAAACACGACTTATTGGTCAATTTAAATCAACATTGATGTTGTTATCTTACCGTGATAAGATGGAAGGGCTCCAATATTTAAGACAATCGTGTGCCAGAATGCTTTCTAGCGCCATTTGTAATAAAGAAACTTAATGAACAAGGCTTAACATACCCCACTGGAGAAAACAACTGATGTAGATTGGAATAACCAGACGCCAAAGACTGCCATTCAATTTGCACTCTTCTAATATAACTGATTAGAAATTACAGTAAAAACAGAAACAAATGAATGTAGGCCTAAATCAGTTTATACATGTATACATTCATAATATTACATTTTTCTTTGTATAGTTGTTACTCGAGTCAATACATGTATCAATACTTTATGTAAACGACTGTAGGCCTATCTATATATATTGTATATACATGTATATATAGTAGCAGTTACATGTATTATTAGTCCTATTTATTGCCCCTATACGGTAACCCAATTTACAATCGAAATAAAAATTAACTCAGAGAAAAAATTACATAGTAGTAAATTGATCAAGAGTCAATCTGTTTTACTGCAGATATTAAGAGAAATTATTTTATGTGGATAGAACTGTTAAGAAATGAAAAAAATATGTACATTATTAAACCAGTTTTTGGACTTAACAAGGCGATAATTAATATGAAACATTTCAGTAAGACGTTATATTTCACATGTGCCACATGTCGTAGATTACCTTTTGGTGTGTACCAGATGCGATAACAGTGTTTTTTTTATAGGCAGGGCTGGATTAAGACCCACAGAGGCCCTAAATACTTAAAAGATTTTGGAATATAAACAATAATAAACCACAAAGAACTGACTAGCACATCGATCATTAGAGTTTTTCTGGGATTTTATACACCTTATTGTTAATTGCGATAAAACAGGTAACAGTACGAAAAAACAAAAACAATGAAAAACTAATTAAAAGTTCTTAGTTAATTTTTAAATTAAATATTTTAAATTTGGCATCTAACAGAGCAGACATCTTGTGGTGCCCCCATTACCATGGTGCCCTAAGCACATACTTATATTGGCTTAATGGTTAATCCAGCACTTTCTGTAGAGGTTAAGATTTGTTTTTCTGCTCTATTGGTGCTAATATAATAGGTTAGGATCAGGTTATTGTTAAAAACTTCGGCTATGTTGTACACATTCTTTTATTTGTAGGTGGATAATTCTATTTGTGCTAAGTCATCATGACCTAAATTTGAGAGATCATTCTAGTTTGTATGTTAATCTTGTCAGTGACCATATTTTTGATGTCCATTTCATTAATGAAAATATGACATTGCTAATATCAAAATCATCACCTGAAAATAATGTCATAAAATCTCTGGGGTTTTATGCTTGACCGGGCATGGAAATAATAAATTTGATTGATCTTACAAAATGCTCTATTGAATGTTGTTTGCAGGGTATCAACAAGGTTGATATCGCAGACAAGTCTTATTTTGATATATTCAACACAGGGGTCTTTTTATGTGGGAACGGGGTTGGGTGGCCTGAAGGTTTAAAGTGTGCGCGTGAAATCATAAGGTCTGTCATTGAATCAAGTAGCGTGGTTTCAATTTCCTGCATGTGACAACTAGTATGGTTGCCTGTCCAAACTTGTGGGTTTTTTCCGGTTTCCTGCCACTGCTAAAGACCCATACAAGCAAATTATTGAAAAAAAACTGAACCATATGTTAGTCCCAAAATGAGCTAGTTTGTGTCGAGTGAATGTTGAACCCTATTTCTCTCTCTTTTCATGTGGGAGGAAGCCTTGAGCAAATCCACAGCACGAAGCGTGACATTTCATTTTAAGTCACTAGGCGAAAGGTGACTATCCAGTTACAGCTCGAAGCGTTACACTACATAGACCACTAAGGCCATTGAATGTTTTATTGTCTAATGAAGTTATATCAAAGACTTTAAACTTCATGAACTTAATGCTTGACATGTTTTAGATTATCAATTAATAAAACCCATCAAAATAATTTACATGACTCTGTTTTTAAATACTGGTTGATTTCATGCAATAATAATTGTACATACAGGCGACCCTACTCGAACCTACTCCCTGTCACGTACAACTGGGGAATCGAAACCACGCCATTTGACTCTTGTGACAGACCTTATGATACAACACGCTAACCATTCGGCCATCCACCCCCCACCCCACCCCCATCCCCGTCTAGGACTAAGCCTAATAGATCTTATCAAAAAATGAAAGCTTAGTCATGTCCATTGTCGTCCCTCTCATCATTATTAAAAAAATGATCTTGTTAGTCTAAAAATGATCACTTTAGATGAAAGAGTTGACATTTTTTTTATGTTTAAATAGTGTGTACAATTTGCCATTTGAAAGACCATAGGGCATGTCTCCAAAACAGAATTGCATCGTGTTATGTAAAATATAATAATTCAATTTTGCTATATCATGAAAGAAAATACACTTGTACTTTAGAAACTTAACATGTTATCTTTATGTCCATTGTGGTCCCGCCCTTCATTAATGAAAAAATGATCTTGTTAGTCTAAAAATTACCACTACTTTAGATGAAAGAGTTGACATTTTTTATGTTTAATCAGAGAGTATTATATGTTTTGAATTTGAATTTGAAAGACCATTTGACCAAAACAGAATTGCATCATGTTATGTAACATGTAATAATTCAATTTTGCTTTATCATGGAAGAAAATCCATTTTAATGTAGCCTACCGGTATTCAAGACTGCTTTATCATGGGAGAAAATTCACTTAAGTTGTACTCATAATGTGTAGGTGGATCTCTATCATTTTATAATGTTTACCTACAGGCTAGTTACATTAGGGATACAATGAAGCCTATTGAATTTGGACGATTTCTGAAAATGATTTCTAGTGCTATTGACCTTGATCACAGTTTAGAATCTTATTACCCCTACGCCCAACAACTACAAGAGTTATCATCCATTCTGTTTGAAATTTACATTCATGATAAAGTAAAATTGAATTATTACATGTTACATAAACAACATGTGCAATTCTGTTTTGGACACATGGTCTTTCAAATTTAAATTCAAAGCAAATTTAATTCACGGATAAACAAGAAAAATGTCAACTCTTATATGTAAAGTGGTCAGTTTTAGATTAACAAAATAAATTTTTCATTACTGATGGGAGGAACAACAAGGGGTTTTACATAGGCTAAGCCTGTTCCCCAATCCCATTCAGACAACATGAATAAAAATATTGTTTATAACCCCCCCCCCCCCCAAGAAGAAAAAAAAAAACCAACCATGGAGTTCAGTTTGTTAGTTGTAACCTAAAACATAACCTAACAAAATGTCTGGTACTAATTAATGAACTGGCTATTAAATGTAGTATGTAGTGGTAAGTGAAGATAAGGGATTCCTTGAAAAATATCCGTGGAGCATGCACAGGACAAAAATGAGAGGGTGTCACTAATTGGCAGCATGACGATTAAAGGGCCGTCTGCTCGAGAGACGTCAAAGGTTGCACGCGAAGATTGACTGATCTCTCAGTGTTAACTAGGGAGCGCTTGATGTACATGTTTATGTTGATAAAACTTGACCCAGGGCGAAATATGAAGTTCTTGTATTTCTGCCGCCATTTTGAATATCTTTGTCAGAATAGGTCGGATGTTAAAAATATACCTGATTTCGTTTTTAGCGACCCCGACAACCTATAAAACAATATATTACACGACCTAGGATGGTGAAAAATGATTTTTTTTTTTATTTTTCACGCCATTTTTGGCCGCCATATTGAATATTTAATTTTCCCCAAGGGTGACACGACCACACCCACCCTGGAAAAATCAAGGGGATCCTACCCAACAATAATCCACCGAGAAACATTATACATGTATATCAGGCAAAAGTGGGTTCAGTGATAATTTGAAATTTGACGTCCCACGACTACTAGGAAAGGGTGAGACTTAAATGTACAACAGTTTCTGAGATAAAACCACAGGAAAAAACGTGGGCAGTGGATAATCCGAGAATTTAATTAGGCTTTGATATTTGTGATAAATGGACATTGATTGAAGACAACATCGTCGTTTATATGCAATGAATTCTCCTCCGGCTTCGCACCCTTTGCTACATGTAGGTACCCCGAAAGCCAAGTCACGTGACATGAACATGACTTCTTTTAATAGATTTTTTTATAGCTTGGGGTATTTCCTTGCGAATGCAATGTTTTGAGAAGGATTTGAAGCCAAATTTTGATAGATTGATAATTTTTATTCCAAATATATATCATCAAATCACCCAGTTTGTACGCGGGAAGGTACATGTATCTTTAACATGGGCCTCTTGTTCTTAAAACTTTCAATTTTTGGTCTGGTTGTCATGATGTAACTGCTGAATGTTTTTTTTTCCTTTTTTCAGAATGACAGTTACTTCACGAACACGTCATGGCCACAATTTACTGATTGTTTTCAACAGACTTTATTAGTGTGGGTTCCATGTGGTTGGTTGTGGATTACTTCCCCTTTATACATATATTATCTGTGTTCATTAAAAGATGGCATCACTCATCCTGTTAATTTACTTAATACCCTTAAAACAGTAAGTAACTACTTACTTATATATCCTGTATCATAAATTGTGACATTTTGTTTATAGTGTGGAAAGGTACCGATCCACTGGAACATTTTGAAATAGTCAACAGATATTGGTACAAAATGAAATTAAATGGGGTTTTCATGCCCAACTTTTCTGCACCATTTAAGAAAGAGGTATATGCTACATAGTGTGCTGTCAGTGAAATTTTGTCTGGATAGAGGCATTTCCACCTACTCTTTATTCATCGAATTTCAGCTGTCTTAATGGTTCTTAATGCCAACAGGGAAACAAGTCCAAAAAATCTTGTGGAACATTCTCACTTCACAGCCAACATGAGGATTAGACCCCTTAACCTTCTGTTTATTTTAGTGAGTGGCTTTCTCACAGAGCAACTATATTGGGACATTTTGAAGTCCGATAATCTTATATTGTCATTTATCATGAATAAGCCTATCACAATTTGAATCCTATACCTCTTGATTGTTTGTAAATATTATTAGTTTAATATTAAATTATTTAACATTCAGCGATTATCCATAACATAACAAGGTATATATTTTCAATCTGCTTTTAGATTTGACTTTTGATAGGTCAATATTCAGCATCCCCTGTGTATGATATCAAAGGGATCTAGTTGAAGTAAGCCAGCCCCACCTATGATCATCACTAGAATCTTTGATGGTCCTCTTTTGAATCTGATTGAATCCCAGCAGGGAGATTATCTACCATTGTTATTTTGATTTTGGCAGGGGATTGGATGGCCGAATGGTAAGCATGTGAGCGCTGTATCATAAGGTCTGCCATTAAATCAACTGGCGCGGTTTCGATTCCCTGGTTGTACGTGACAAGGAGTAGGGTCGCCTGTCCATCCTTGTGGGCTTTCTCAATATCCACTGGTTTCCTCCCACTTCTAAAGACCCCTACGCGCTAGCGAATTGTTGAAATAAAATTGAACCATGTGTTAGTCCCGAAATGACCAGGTTTGTGCGGAGTGGATGTTTAACCCCATCTCTCTTTCTTTCTCTCTCTCTCCATTTTGTTTTCTTAGTTAAATAATTCATTTGAGAACATAAATCCCGTCCAGCAGCTTTCATATGAATAATGTTTTTTGTAATTTCAGTTTTTTAGTTTATTTTTATGTTTACTATCTGTGATAGAGATAATTAAAACAGCGGGTGATGAAAAGAAATCAGCAGTACCAGATTCTTTATATGTTAGTAACGCAATTCAAGCTGCTACTTTTGTAAGTATTAGATCTTTCTGAAACCAATCAACTCTGCCTAACTCTCGTTCATTTTGAAAATAGGCCTATTCGATATTTCTAAAATCAATTGAATATGTCTGTCTTTTGCTACTTTTGTAAGTATTAGATATTTCTGGAAACCAATCAAATCTGCTTTGCCTAACTTGACGCTTCTGAACGCAAATACATCTATTGGAATTGTTTAGCTTTCAAAAAGCATTAGTATGGACAATGTGTGTGTTCTCAGACGAGGGCCTGCTTCCATGGATAATCCCCCCAAACCTGTGTTAAACTTTGAAATGTCAAATATTAGGAATGAATGAATGAATGAATGCAATGAGGTTTAACATACCGGTACTACTCTTCTACATCAACCGGGATATTGAAGATGGGCATACACCATACATTGTGCTTTTTGAGGGATATTTTGCATGGGCAGCACTTGAATTACAACTGTCAAGGCTTCTTTTATTGGACCTAGTTTTTTTTGTCCCATCCAAATGACTATGTGCTGTTTCTTGCCAGGCCTTCTGTCCTGCACCACTAATAAGGGGAAACTGCAATGGAAAGTCCTGGGGAACTTTCTTGACGAACACCAAGATTTATCCCCGGACATCCGACAATATTAGGAATGAAAGGTGTGACTCGTTAGATTTAAAATGATATTTAAATGGGATTGTCTATGACTATTTGATAATTATCAATTGATGATAACCTCATCTAGTATAGTAGTCTATAGTATTTATCACAGTTAAATTTTAATCTTATCATTTATATAAGTCATCAATTATATCCACCATTTTAGGTGAAAGTAATATATGAAATGAAATCAAATCAAATGGAGTTTAACTTTGTACTGTTCTTCTCCGACTGGGCTAATGAAGATGGACATACCCCTTGAGGGAAATTTTGCCCAGAGATTGTCGCTACGTACAAGCCAATGTGTACGTGGTGCCACAGTTTATCATCCATCTGAGCAACTATACATTGTCTCTTGCCAGGCACCACTGAGACCGGGTGGAACCATGTCGGAAAACCATGATACATACACCATACATGTAGGTGAGAGTAGGAATATAGTGTTCATATGATCAACAAATGTCCTGGTCTATTCCTCTTCTTTGGGATGTTTTTAAAAGTCAATATTTGCCATACATGGTAAATTATTTTAGAAAAACTTTCAAGATTAAAAGTTACTGACACCAATGATGTTTTGAAAAGCAAAACAGAATTTTCACATATTTCCATTTAAGATTCATTATCTAAGATTTGAATAAAGAGCTGGCCATATTTGCTATAATAGTTCAAAAGTAGATATTGAATTATGAATATATTGAAAGTTTCAGTCAAATTATGTTATTCTTAAAAAAGTTATGAATATTTGAAGTTTTTACAAACGACTGAGTAAATACATGTAGTCATGATTATCAAATACCGTTGCTGTGATAATAAACATAGTCTTGAGTTTCAATTTTATAGCTTAACGATGATATTACAGACATTTTCTAATCTAATTAATATCTCAGCCATTAGATGGTTGATTATGGGCCTGTCATGTGAATAAATGCCTAAAATATAATTTATATAACGTTTGAAGCCAGAAAAAACACCTGTGATGGACAGATTTAGCTCTTACATATTAAGTTGTTTCTGGATAAATGAGAAATATGACATTCATCAGGGGTTTTAAGTTTAAACAATATTTTATTCATTTGAAAAGGATTGATATATAAGTTCTTTCCCAGGGGTTTGGTTATAAGGACTTTTTTAGGGGGGAGAAAAATTACATCTTAATGACAGAAACTTGTGTTGATACTGATGATAATCAAACAGTTACAGATTTTATGTCAAAAAGGGTACCAGTATAATTAACCAAAATTTATCTAAATCGTCAATTATTAAACTCATTTAGCATTTTCAAACATTTCATAAGTTATATAGTTTTGATTGAGTAAACGGATGAGATTATATAAATTATAAGATATCTGGGAATGATAACATTTATCAGAGATTCGCCTGGTAAAGGGACAATCTGTGCACGTTTCCAGGATATGATAATATATTTAATAAAGATACCCTACTAGTTTTCACAAAATGTGATGACTCCGTTATTCAGGAATATTATTGTCGTGAACTTCAAGTCTGTATGTCGATTGAATATCGAAAATTTTCAGCAGGTGTTCCTATTTGTTGTTAATTTTTTTTGTGCGTAATCATATTAACCTATTCAGAATATGACATTCTATGTTAAAAATTACTAAAAAAAAATTTTTTGTTAAGTCTGGTTATATCAAAGGGAATGGGAGCTTATAATTACCCAACTTCCTACACAATGTCCACTTGGGTCCGGTTTGTTTTAAAATGAATTAAAAACCGTGGTGATGAGAAAGCCTTTTTACCTTATTTGTAAAAATTTTTCAAAATCTTGAAAATGATCAATAGACTTGCTGAAAGAAGCTAAATCTCTAATCTTTGGCACCTAAAATGGACGAAAATGGTTCTAAAAACACATATTAATGTAATTCATGTATGAATTTATAAACTAATTAACATTTGATTTTAAAAAATTTATTACAATTTCTGGTCAGTTATATTTGGGAAGTTACATGAACAGTCCAAATTAAATACATGTGTGTCATTTGTGCCTGGTTAGTCCAGTCTACTTTGGAAGTACTGTTTGACATTTCACTTCTGCTTGTGCTTATTTGCGTCGTTCATTAAGCTGCCTCATTACAAAAGGTGCGCAAGAACAAATAGAAACCGATGTCGAAAAATGTTCATTGTATATCTAAATATTGGTTATCAGGATTTTTATGGTAAGATAACAAAATCAGTATTAATTGAAATGGACCAATATTAAATTTTATGGATAATATTTAGTTAAAGATTTAGCTACATTAATAAGTTAAATGTACTTGATGACCATGACTATCACCATTATAACTTGACAAGTAGGCTATATAGATTATGTTATCCATGTACTTAATAAACTATGCATGGACACATGTCATATCGCCAGGGAGATGACTTCCTGCACATTCCCAAAGCTGGCTGGAGTCAGCATTTTTAAGCGACCTTTTCTAAGACAGTTACATGTAGGATACTGAAGAAAATAACAAGAGAAAAAGAAAAAGGTATTTCTTTCGAGAGTTTTTTTCTGAAGTCTTCCCCGGCATGACTGAAGTCGAGGACTTTATCTTGCTTATAAACTGGCTATGTTTACATGTACGTAAAATGAGAATATCATGTTTTCTTAAACCCCACTAGCCTGGAAGAATAACCCATTACAGGTTTAAAGAAAAACCTTCAGAAGAAAAACCCCAAATTCCCCTATCTACATTCAAAGCCGCCCCCGACTTTCAGACCACAAGTTATTTCAGGCATAGAATATACCCCAAAGATCAAAGAGATTTACTGTACCAGTTATAGGTTGATAACAGTAAGATAATACTCTATGAAATATCTGTTTTCCATAAGTATGTGATTGTTATATCCTATCCAGTTACTATATATGTTACTAATAGATTATTAAAGTTAAGCTGGCTTAAAGATACATTATGGAACATTCAGATAAAGAGCTGGCTGTTCTGCTGGCGTAGATACCGGTAGTCTCAATTATCCATGTAAGGTAAAATTATTAAATGCTGCAATTGTTCTAAAGTTCTAACCCATTTAATATCTCGACCATCAGCGATGTCCTAGAGAGTTGATTATGGGCTTGTTTAAATAATTATTTATATAATATTTGAAGCCAGTTAATTGATCTCTTTACATAATGTATCCCTAATTCTCGGCAGTGTTTTTAAACCAGTTTAATATAAGCGTTATAACGACAAATTAGAAATGATTGTGCATATTAGGACAGTCTTAACTATTAAAATATATGTAACCTAGTGACAGAAAAATGGTGGTCCCATAAATTTAAACAATGTATGAATGGTATTTAAAGTTGTCAAGAGATAAGGAGATCTTTGATGATTATTTGTAATGTTCTAGATGAGTGTGCAATTTTTTGTAATGTCAAGTATTGGTGTCACCTATATTTTATTTTTAAGTACATTGACACACTTTCAGACTAGACTCTTCTTTATTTGGTTTTCAGTAATATATTCCCTAATTAATGGCAAATTGATTGTTTAAATAAGATTTGACTGTTGAGTTTTCTGTGGTATATTTTTTTAATTGTTGTCACCTCTGTCTGTCTGCCACTCCATCCGTCCACATTTAGCCAGTTCAACATCTTCAATTTTTTGCTGTAAATTTTTCCTAATGAAATGAATAACAAAAAGAATATATTGAAAATTTTTAAAGTATATTGTGCAAAGTTATGAGTGCTTGAAGTTTTGACAGAATGTGGTATCGTTGCAAAGGTACTTGACAATCAAGACAAAATCTTGATTATCTATTTTATATCGTTAAACATTAAGATGACAGTGGTGTGCTAATATTCTTAAAATCAGAGCAACCCGATGGCTCATAGAGTTGATTATGAACTTGTCATGTTGATAAATGTTTAAATAATAATTTAGATAACATTTGAAGCCAGAAACGAAACCTGCAATAGACAGATTTAGCATCTTTAAACAAACCCCTTAAAAGAAAGACCTGCAACCTGCCGATTTAGCTCTTGTGTCTTTAATCTTTAATTCGTTTATAATCCTTGAGTGGCATTTAGCGATTGAACACATTAAAAACACAACGATAAGAGAATACTTGTCGAAACGTCGTGCTATACTTATAAACCAGTGATTGTATTTCCATATAAACTGTGTTGTGTTTTTAATTCGTTTATTTTTCAGTTGTTTGCAACATTTATTATACAGTTAGAGAGATTTAAAGGCTTAATTACATCAGGAATATTATTTATATTTTGGTTACTCACCTTTGTAGCATCAATAATACCATTTTATAGTAAAATATTTCAAGAGGTTAGTATCATTTATTTATATCCTACCATAATGGCCTCAAAATAATTCATCTCAGAATTTATACTCATTGATACTGTTACATGTAGGTAAGGATTTGTATAAAAAATGTCTGACTTTTCTTAAAAGTACACATAGCAATATTGTGATTAATTGATTAAAAAGACAGCCATGTCCAGCAGCCAGGGACCCCTCAGGCCCCAACATTGAAGAGGCCCCCAAATAAGTTCTATTAAAATTTTGTACCATAAATTAAAATGTTACGATGGAGTTTAAACCGATAATTTCATATTTTTAAGTTATATTTTTAAAATGTATTAAAATAAATAGATGGTATCTATAAACAGTCCTATAAACAGTCCCAGCTCTGCATGCCTGTTGTTGGTTGCTGATAATGTTAAAGGTTTTGCCCCATACTATCATGGCGTAATTTTACTAGGATTTCTTTCATTTATCACGAAAAAAAAATCTTGTTAGTCTGAGAATGACTAGATATGTTAAACAACATTTATAAATGTCTTTCTTACAAGATTTTTTATTTTATTTTCAGGAATATGATACTGATGTATTCCGCTTTTCTCTCTTCTATATATACTTTACGTTTGTATTCATTGAATTAATATTATCATGTTTTGCGGAAAAACTACACAGAAATGGCTACCATGTGCTGGGCTTGGTAAGTTATGGTTTAATTTTTTGTGTTTTATGCAAATTGTGGTGGAATTATGGATTACAGCCAGAAAAATTTCATTTTACTTTTTCTTGACACAATGACAATTCAGGGCAAAAATGAGGCCTGATTCTTTCCAATTATGTAACTCTTTGGGGAGTTGACTACATCGTTCTGTAAGAGATATCAGTTGTTTCTCATTTCATCAACAATAAGAACTAATAATTTAAGGTAGATATGGTGTTTTATTTCACATCCTGTCTTCATTATCCCAGTTGGAGCAGAAAAGTAGGATGTTAAGTCCGATTTCATTTAATGTCACATCATGGACTCTCTTAGACCACACTGTTACAAATTTTGCTTCCTTTTTCTTGGGCAAAAATTTAAAAACAACAAATATTTGGGTGTCCTCAAAATCTTGTGGTTCAAATTTTGATGGGTTGAAGTACAAACTGTGATTTGATGGTATGGACTAAACCCTATTCAAACTAATTTGTATCCCTCCCAGAAACATTTTAATCGCAGGAACTAACACAAGCCACAAAAATCTATTTAAGCAGCCTTGTTTGTCGTTTTGCGTGACTTACTTAAAAGAAGGTACATGTAAATTAGTGACAGGTGATCCCACCCCCACCCCCCATCATGACTTGAATTAAAACCGATGTGTTAACTATTTTTGTGTAGAATTTGTTATTTATTATATCAAATTTGATAAAATCCACACTTATTTATGAAAATGTATTGCCTGATCATTAAAGTAAATATTTACTTGATGAATTTTATTCTATTTTACAGAAAGCCTCACCAGAACAAAGTGCTTCTTTTTTAAATAGATTAGTTTTTCATTGGATTAATCCGTAAGTACATAAGCATTTTAAATATTTGAACCATGAACTGGTTGCTTACACTTTCTATACGCCCACATTTTCATGTGGATGTCTGTTATCATCGCCCCGTCCGTCCGTCTATCCACAATTTGTTTTGGACACTCTACAGGTCACAATTTTTATCTGATTTTGACAAAACTTGAAATACAGGTTTATCTCCCAACGATCTTGGTTTGTGAAAAAGGGACCAAAACTGATGAATCTTAAAATATGTGTTTATATCACAAAGATCTCAGTTCCTTTCCATATTAAGGCATATCAGGCCTTAAGTTAGTGGATTATGGCCCGTGATTATATGAGAAATATAAATATATCATCATTTTTTTTTTTTTTTTTCTTATGATTGAGTTCGAATTACGTAAAAATCGGACTGAAACTGCCTGACAAAATTTCTGCTCGTTGAACGCAAATAGACTAAAAGTACATGTTTGTAATACACAGGTTGTGGACCCGCTAGAGGTCACAATTTTTGTCTGATTTAGATAAAATTTAAAATATATCTTTATATCCAAAAGATTTCAATCTCTTTCAATATTGGCGCATTTCAGACCATAGCTTCCAGGATTATGGCTCCTGATTGTACGAAAAAGTCACATTTTTAGCTTGTGGATCCTCTAGAGGTCACAATTTTTATCCAATTTGCAACATAATGAAGGTTAAATTCGAATTTCAGGAAAATCGAAACGAAATTGTCCGACAAAATGGCCACTCCTTGGGTTGCTTATTCTTTCGACAATTCCAAAGTGTCTGCGATGACGTTGTGCCCAGTTGCTTCATGGTCAGGTCTAATCAATTTCTAATAATTGTTGCCATTGTTATTGCCCTTGATGACTTTCATTATTACATTTCAGACTTATCTTCACCGGTTATAAGAAATCTTTAGTAGAAGATGACCTTTTTGAACTGCATCCTAGAGATCAAAGTTCAAATTTTGTGCCATATTTTTACAAGAAATGGACAAATGAACTGGAGAAAGTAAGAAAGCTGAATGAGTAAGTACGAAAAATATATTAAAAATATATAACTTTCTCATAACAGACTCACAGATATTTGACTTTCACAGTATACAATGGATTAAAAGTCCTGAAATTTTCTTGAATTCAATTTCTGATAATGTCAACACAAGGTACAATTTTATGGATACACAATTACTGAGTTTAATACTAAGGAACGTTTTGACGAGGATACTCCTGTTATTTAAGAGATTTAGGAACCTTTACTATATTGTAAGTTAAATGGAATATCGGTTGGAAGATATTTACTTCAATTCAGTATTTACAAAGATATGATGGACTGAAAATTTGTACGCAAACCAGTAGCTCCTATCATATTTTGCTGAAATCTTTTCATGGGCCTCTGTTGAAACCTGAGTTCTACAACATCTAGCCGTTGCTAGATTATTCTGAAATTCCTGAAATTATAGGTATGTTATCTCCCTTTATCACAGACACATAAACAATAATATGTTGTCCAATCAAAGGTCGTAACTCAAATCAAACGTGGCGACCTCCACGGAAACCTTGACATTGAACGAACCTTGAACTTCGCAACTCGATTATCACAAGTAGACATTGCAGGGTATTACGTGAAGGTCTTGATAAAATGTACAAAGTTAAAGCGAGATGTTATTTAAGAGATTTAGGAACCTTTACTATATTGTAAGTTAAATGGAATATCGGTTGGAAGATATTTACTTCAATTCAGTATTTACAAAGATATGATGGACTGGAAATTTGTACGCAAACCAGTAGCTCCTATCATATTTTGCTGAAATCTTTTCATGGGCCTCTGTTGAAACCTGAGTTCTACAACATCTAGCCGTTGCTAGGTTATTCTGAAATTCCTGAAATTATAGGTATGTTATCTCCCTTTATCACAGACACATAAACAATAATATGTTGTCCAATCAAAGGTCGTAACTCAAATCAAACGTGGCGACCTCCACGGAAACCTTGACATTGAACAAACCTTGAACTTCGCAACTCGATTATCACAAGTAGACATTGCAGGGTATTACTTGAAGGTCTTGATAAAATGTACAAAGTTAAAGCGAGATGAAGTCTCCTGTTGAAGATGTTTGAATCCAATCCAAGTGATTTTCTTCCATTGATACTTTGAATTTGTTTTCTTAATTAAATTTTCGATAATCAATTTTCTGTCTACATTTTTGTGTACATTAAAAGTTATGATAAATTAGATATTGTTTGAAAAATGCAAATGTAATCTTCTGTAGGCCATCATAACAGAGTTACAGATCAATATTGTTTCCTTGGTTTTATTTCACTGCAACGTTTAAACAAGATTTCGCTAGTTGTTGTCAAGCATATATCAACACAATAAATAAAACAGTTAAAAACTTGTGAAATCTTGTTGAAATGCCGCAGTGAAATAAACCATAGTAGTTGCTATTCCATAAACAGTGTTTTATTAGATCAAGGTTGCATATTGTGGGATTCCGTTAATTATGGCTCTCTTTAGACATGAAGTCAATGAAAATTTTGTTTCCTGGAATTCTGTGGGTTAAATATTAATGTATTTGATTGAAATTTAGTAGATTGTTTTACATAGCAGAGTTTCAAATTTCAGAATAATTTTCAGAATTTAATGCATGCATGTTGCATCATAAGTAAGGTCTTTTATTGAGTCAGGTGTCATGGTTTTGATTCCACACTAGTACCTGACAAGAAGTAGGGTCCAATCTCCGGTTTTTGCTCTGGCTCCGGCTCCGCTGACTACTCTCTCTCCCTCTCTCTCTCTCTCTCTCTCTCTCCTTCTCTCTCTATCTTAAAATTCATGCATTGTAAAATTTGTTGGAGCCAGTATGGGACGTAGCAGCAATACTCTCACAAGGTTTGTTTTGAAAAGGATATATGAAATAGATTAAAATGATGTTAATGTAAGAATGACTATACCCCTTTAACTGCACTAAAGAGTCCTAATCATTATTTTTCATTTTTTTCTAGGATAATTAAAAGGAAGGCAAATACATCTGTACAATTCTCTATGAATGGAGGGGGTCAGATCCAGTCATCTCATTCTGAAGATACAGAAAGAACACCTCTACTTCCAGCTAAAGAGGTGGAAATAAAAGGAGGAAGAGATAATGGACCAAAATTAAAGGATGCCTCTCTTTTAAAAGTTTTAGCAATAACATATGGTCCTACTCTATTGAAGGCTCACGCGTGTAAATTTATCTACGATTTATTGCAGTTTGTTAGTCCAACTTTATTAAAGTAAGTCTATTTATTATACGCACATTTTTTGACCAGGTACTGGACCCGAACTGGACCCTAACCAGTACTCATCTTATTGTTTCGGTTGTTATTCTTGCTGGCGACATGGGAGCCATGGGTGGCTAAGTGAGTAAGACACTGATTCACTAGCCTGGAGGTCGCTGGTTCAATCGCGGTGTTGGCAGAGAAAGTTCATTGGGATTTTTCGGCGTGGTTTCCCCTTGTCTGGTGCAGGACAGAGGGCCTGACAAGGACAGCCGTCTAGTCTTTCAGATGTTAATAAAAACGAGGTCTCGTGTACACATTTGCGTGCATGTAAAGTGTCTCTTGGCAGTTGGAATTCGATATAAGGGTAGGCCGTAGCGCCGCTGTCCAGGCAAAATTTCCCTCACAGAACACTGTCGGTTTGTGGTGTATGCTCGTCTTTATTACCCCAGTCGGTGCAGAACGGTAGGGTGTTAAACCCATCTCATTTCATTTTGGGGGAAACACCCTTCGCTAAAAGCCTAAGGCTATGCCAATTTATGTCACACATTGTTGAACCAGAAACTGGAGCCTAACTGCTACTCATCTTATTGTTCTTGGGGTCACACTCTTCGCAAAGAGCCTGAGGCTCTTCCAATTCATGTAAGACCTACATAAAACTTTGCATGCTTGTTCCTTCGACAATGGCACATCGATTGATCGATTTCAATTTTTGACATAAGTTCACAATTCCAAGATTGCTGCAATGATGTCCTCCTCAGTTCCTGGCACTTTCTAGTCCATAGCAATTGTTAAAGATACATTATGGGGTATTAGATAAAGAGCTGGCAGTTCTAACTATCATAGTTAAAAACTAGATAATGTAAAGGGAATTTGCTGAGAATTTAGTGATTGAATTTTCGGCCTAGCCTCGATCATTGTTACTAAAGTCGATACGATAAAAAAGCATAGTCTCGATTATCCATTTCATGATTAAATCATGAATGAAAGTTGAGCAGCTGATCGGATCCTAATCCAATATATATCGCAGGCTAGCAATGACATCGAAAGTTGATTATGGTCTGGATATGTTAATTAATGTCCAATTAATAATTTAGATAACATTTCAAGCCTAAAGAAAGACATGAAATAGGCAGATTTAGCTCTTGCATAATGTATGTTTAAGAAAAATAATAATACTATATTTTAAGGCAACTTGTTACAAATTTTTTCTAGTTCTGTGTTATATCCAGTTGGACATCTATTTAAATATGAATGAATTCAGCTGTGTAAGACTATCATCAAGTCGATAGTGGCATGTATCTAGATATTTAGGTCATTTTATAATAGGAGCCACGGTGGCTCAGTGAGTAAGGCACTTACTCACTAAACAAAGCTTCTCGGTTTCAATTCCTGTCTTGGCTGGGAATATTCCTTTGGTTTTCCAACCTGATTTCCCCGTTATGCTGGAGCTGGGTGGAGGACATGGCAAGAAAATACGTCTCTAAATGTTACTTTTTTTTTTCAGCGTTTTGATAGCGTATACCAGTAATCATGCAACAGAACCAGAATGGAAGGGCTACGTTTATGCTTCCTCTTTCTTTGTTGTGGCTATCGTCCAATCAGCTTTCTTTCATCAGAATTTCCATATTGGTATGACATTAGGAATGCGAGTCAAATCTTCTGTTATTTCAGCTATTTATAGAAAGGTAAGTTTATCTTATATAATTACCACTATCTAATTGTCAATTAGGGGTTGGGGGACGTGGGGTCCAACGCTAAAATATGTAAACCCACTGCTGTTTTGAAAGTGTGATTTAGTGTCCTACTTTCCTGCATCAGATGGACTAATGATAACAGTCAATGTGCTTTAAGGGAAATTTTGGCAAGACAGCAGCGCTACGACCTACTCTTAATTTGATTTCCAAAGGGTTCTTGTACTTGCAAGCCAACATGTACCCAGTGTGATGCAGTTACTCAATAGCATAGAGTTTACATTTGAACATTAACATTAAATAATTTTGGCAATGATCACATTGTCATAAAGGGTACCACTAAATATGTCAAATGATACGATGCTCTGAATGATATTTTCATATCGAATGTACCTCCATTACAAGCATGTTTCCTTCTCCAGCATTATAAAGATTTGTATTCATATCATCAGCCTTCCGATTAACAAAGGAACTTGACACCCAGAATATTTCTGAAATACTATCAAGTTTTCCCCTGAAATATTGCATGTAAAATTATCTCCATAATGATCTTGAATTCCAAAGGAGATTAGCATAAGTATTTTAAAAGCTAATTTCTGAATTAATTTCTGGATATTTTGTGTTCTAGGCAATGACAATAGACAGTGAGGCTAGGAAAGCATCAACTGCTGGTGAAATAGTCAACTTGATGTCCGTGGATGCTCAGAGATTACAGGATATCACAGGATATTTATGGATGATGTGGTCCGCTCCGTTACAGATTATACTCGCTATGTATTTATTGTGGGGAACTCTAGGACCGTCTGTTCTCGCTGGACTCGGTGTTATGATACTACTGATGCCCATCAATGGTGTGATTGCAGCCAAGTTGCGAAAATTTCAAATGGCACAGATGAAGTTAAAAGATAAAAGAATTAAACTGATGAGTGAAGTACTGAATGGAATGAAGGTAAAATAACGGCGATTAATAGTCAATGAAATAAAATGGTGTTTAATATCCTACTTTTCTGCACCAACTGGGCTAATATGAAGACGTGTACATGAGGGAAATTTTGTCCAGGCAGCACCACAAGAGCATAGTATTATTTTGAATATGTGTACACCAATGTATACACAGGATACCAGTTTTCGTCCCTCCGAATGACTATACACTAGTAAAGGGATTTATAGACTGCTCACATTCTGTGTGGATCACTTGATCTTCCATCGAATATCATTTATTAGGGCTGCAAGAACTATCACTTGAATTTGTTTGGCCTAAAAGATATAATGAAAATCTGGTTTTTTTTTCAAGGTGCTGAAACTGTATGCTTGGGAGTTATCCTTCCAAGAAAAGATCTCAGAGATCAGAAATCAAGAATTAGATATTTTAAGAAAATCTGCTTACTTAAATGCATTTGGTACTTTTACATGGACATGTGCTCCTTTCCTGGTAGGTTTTTAAACTTCAATTAAAATTTACCTACTATTCCATCATCTAATTTAACTACTGTCCCCACCACCTAATTTAACTACTGTCCCGACAATCTAATTTAACTACTGTCCCCACCATCTAATTTAACTACTACCCCTCCATCTAATTTGACTAAAGTTTGAGCCAGATAATATTAATTGTACAATAGTATCATTTCCTACTAAAATAGTTCTTGTTGCCACTTTTTCAGGAGGGGGCCACTGTTCGAGAGAGATAAGGGCACTGGATTCCCGACTTGAATGACCCTGTTGGGGGGGTTGGATGGCCAAATGATTAGCACATGCGTGTTGTATCATAAGGTCTGTCTGTGATTGAGTCAACTGGCGCGTGGTTTCGATTCCCTGGTTGTTCTTGACAAGGAGTAGGGTCGCCTGTCCAAACCCGTGGGTTTTCTCCGGGTCCTCCGGTTTCCTCCCACTGCTAAAGACCCCCATGCTTAAGCGAATTATTGAAATAAACTTGAACCATATGTTAGTCCCGAAATGACTGAGTTTGTGTCGAGTGGACGTTAAACCCCAGTTCTCTCTCTGTTCATACTTTGTATGTTAAACCTTGCAAATCTCATAATTATTACTCTCTCTAAGTTTGAGGTTATATTCCCATTCACATTTAGACTGTAAAACTTAGCGATTACGATACAGGAGCTCTATAGAGAATTGTGGTTTTTTTATAATTGCTCAGCATCACGCATCTTGTGCGCGTATTAAGGTGACTGAGATGTATTGTAGATACAGCATGAAGGGGGAATACCTAGCAAAATATTATATATGTATAACTATCCTAATTTGTTTCAGGTTACCTTGGCAACATTTGCTACATATGTATTATCCTCAACAGAGAATTATCTAGATGCCCAGAAAGCCTTCGTAGCTCTATCTTTGTTTAATATTTTAAGATTTCCTATGACTTTGTTACCTATGTTGCTGTCCTTTATTGTACAAGTAAGTCAAGATTTCTACTACTAAAGCCTAACATACACACCATAATCATTTTTATACCCCTCGCATGGAAATATTAAATTCCAGTAATTTTTGTTAATTACTTCTAAGAGTTATGTCCCTTAAATAAGTCCTATAAGATGGATTTATTATCATTTGAAGAGAAGTTATTATTAAGATAAATTTGAAGTTTTAATTGAAGTTTTAATTGAAAAAACTCGAATCACTTCAAATAAATCGTTTATTGTTTATTTCTTTAATAACTAATGACTGCCACTTCAGCAGTATTATTGGTAATTATATCTGTATTACAAGATGTTTTATCTGATATGAGTTGAAATATGTTCCATATCATATTATTATAATATGTTTATTATAGGCTAATGTATCTATAGGACGTATCGGAAAGTTTTTACGCCATGGAGACCTAGATACTGATAATGTTTCAAAAGACAGTTCTTATGGTATGTATACATTACTCAAATGTGGTTTTGATTATCTACTGCCAATTAAAGTTGTGGGAAACATCTTGAAATTGGCTCTGTCCATCCTTCCGGAGCACACTTCCTAAACAAATCAAGAAACTTTGTACACACTTCAATCATGTTAGTGTCTTTTGAGGTTGAGAGGGGTTGGGTTGCTGACCGAATAAAAACATTAGATCATAAGGTCTGTCATTAAGTTGGGGGGGGGGGGGGGGGGTGGATGACTGAATGATTAGCATGTGCACGCTGTATCATAAGGTCTGTCATTGAGTCAACCGGCATGGTTTTGATTTCCTGGTTGTACGTGACAAGGAGTAGGGTTGCCTGTCCATCCTTGTGGGTTTATTCCAGGTCCTCCAGTTTCCTTCCACTGCTAAAATGAATTATTGAAATAAAATTGATCCATATGTTCATCCCGATATGACCTAGTTTGTGTCGAGTGGAGTTAAATCTCTCTCTCTCTCTCTCTTCTCTCGCTTCCCCGCTTGTATATGACAAGGATTAGGGTCACCTGTTCAACCACATGGCTTGTCGCCAGGTCCTCAAGTATCCTACCACAGCCAAAATCCCAAACAAATTATTGAATTGAAATTGAACCATATTTTCGACCCAAAATGACTTTCTTTGTGTCGAGTGGACGTTATACCCATTTCATTTCATTCGTTTTTTACTGGCATTATTTTTTCTATTGTGTATTATTTGATACATTAATTAACTGATATACTTTAAATAGCTGATGTCATCCATGTTGAAGATGGAACATTTACATGGGATAAAACAGCCACGAAGCCTACTCTTAGAAAGTAAGAATAAATTTTATAGGAAATAATTTCAATACAAGCTATTTGAATATGAAGCATTATTTACTAATAATAATTCAATCAAATTCCATATCTTGTAGTAGAGTCGTATACATTTGTTACTAATTTTTAATTATTAATTTTCATTTATAATAGAGGTTGACCCGGGATCACTGGAATTGGTAGTTTAGTGCCACTGGTCCTATGTCACTCTGTGGCTAAACCTGTACTTATAATCCTAATTTTCAGACTCACGCAGCCCCAAACAGACAGTGACCAAAATATAACAAATATTTTTCTAAACCAATCACATTTATTTTATTATTTTTTTTGTTGAACAGCATCAATTTGAGAGTACCACATGGTAAACTGGTAGCAGTAGTTGGTCAGGTCGGAGCTGGTAAATCATCTATTGTGTCGGCCATCTTGGGAGAAATGGAAAAACTAAAGGGGAAAGTCAATGTTAAGGTATGGTTTATTGATTTCGTTTTTAAACTAATTTCTCTTTTTTATAATCTTTGAATGGCATTTAGCGATTGAACATAATATAACACAACACAGTTCTATGGATACCCAAATCGCCAAGCAGTGCGCTATTAGGGAAATTTTGTCTGGACAGTGGTGCTACCATCAAATTCATCACATCTGAATGACTAATCATTGTCCCTTGACAGGCCTTATGTCCTACACTAGTGACAAGGAGGAACCACGCTGGAACATCCTGATGAACTTTCTCAGTCAACGCACGAATCAAACACGGAACCTCCAGGCTGGTAAGCCCAAGTTTTACACACTGAGCCACCATGGCTCTGTGAGCCTAATGTGTTGATTTCTTTTAAGGCTCAGTAATACGGTAATATGTGTGCTTTTTTTAATAGCTTAAAGCGATAATTTCATACTTTTAAGTTATATTTTTAGAATGTATTAAAATATAGCCTTAAAATAGATGGTATCTATAAACAGTCCTACCTTGTTAAAGAATAATCCTATTAATCCTATAATTCACTATTGCCAGTTGAGAAATTGGCAAAAATATCATTTTCAACTTTAAATTCAAACGTTTGAAGGTAGGTATTCCATTGGGGGGAATAGAAAAACAAGGGAGATAATTGTGTTATTATTTCCGGGGTGAATGATTTTTAAGTGTAAGAATGATACGTATGATCGTATAATAGTGAGTTGACAACCTATTGAGCAAAAGACATAGAAATAATTATGTTTTGACTTTCTTAGAAAATATGAAATTCTAGCTTTAATAACAATAGTAATGTGTTTTTTTTAAAAGCTTAGTAAAATAGTAATGTGTGTGTGTTTTTACAGGGATCTACAGCATATGTACCACAAGAAGCCTGGATACAGAATGCTACTGTAACAGATAATATATTATTTGGTAGTGGAATGAATAATAAAAGATATGACGATATATTAGATGCATGTGCATTAAAACCTGATCTAGAAATATTACCTGGTGGAGATCAAACAGAAATTGGTGAAAAGGTAGGAATATTGTTTACAACAGTTTCTGTTTCTATATTAAAGACCATAGACATACAGATACAGTAGCTAACTTCATTGTCATCAAGAGCTATCTTGGTTTACAAGAGCAACTTTGTGGTCTTTGGGCTAAATTCATTGTCTACAAGAAAAAACTTTATGGTCTTCAAGAGCTAAATTTGTGGTCTTCAAGAGCTAAATCTGTGGTCTTCAAGAGCTAAGTTTGTGGTATTCAACAGCTGAATACATGTTCTTCAAGAGCTAAATTTGTGGTCATCAAGAGCTAACTTTGTGTCGTGGTCTTAAAGAGCTAAATTTGTGGCCTTCAGGAGCTGAATTCATGGTCTTGAAAAGCTAAATTCGTGGTCTTCTAGATCTAACTTTGTATCTTGGTCTTCAAGAGATAAATTTGTGGCCTTCAAGAACTAAATTCATGGTCTTCAAGACCTAAATTCATGGTCTTCAAGAGCTGAATTCATGGTCTTCAAATTCAATGATGTAAAGAGTTAATATTTTGTTTTATTTAACATTATACTCCAAATCTGAATATACATGTATATAATAAGCCACATTACAGTGATCAATCCTTTAGAACTTCCAGGGAAACCAATACCCATATCATATTGGACAGTGGAATAATCAGAACTGTGATGAGTGCAGTGTTTCCAAGGATATAAGCTATGTTGGTTGGAAAACGTTTCCAAGATTATTCCTGATCAAAGATTGCCAAAATATAAGACAAGCTGTCATTGGCCATTGAGACACATGTTATTTCTGTGCTCCAATCAAGTTTATTCATAGATTCACATGTGATATATGAATTAATGTAAATCCAAATCCAGTAAGTTTTGGATTCCTATCAACGATTCAACAGCAGATATTTTTTTTTCTATTTTAGGGAATCAATCTGAGTGGAGGACAGAAACAGAGAGTTAGTTTAGCTCGAGCTGTTTATAGTAACACTGATATTTATCTTCTAGATGATCCACTCAGTGCCGTCGACTCACACGTAGGAAAACATATCTTTGAAAAAGTCATTGGGGAGAAGGGTTTATTGAAGGATAAGGTATGAACAGAAAAAATAATTATAAACAAAATAAGCAGACCTCTTACTGAAGCAATGTTTGATGGTGTGGTTTACACAGATCTGCTATTGTATTACATTGTTACATTGTGAATCACATTCTTGTCAGTGCTGATGTCAAGTTCAAATTGTACGTAGGAGTTCTCAGTAATTTCTTGCCAGCACTAAAGCGATGTAAATTAATGAAATGAATATATACAATCCTACAATTAAGTTGCTGTATAAAGTCAATTTTAAACCATGTTTCTCTTGATGGATTTCAAAAACACCATATAAAAATATGATTTTGAAGTGCTAGTTCGACGAAGGTAATTTTATTTAATCTAGATAGAAAGAAAGATGGGGTTTAACATCCACTTGACACAAACTAGGTCATTCCAAATCATTTGACTTAATGACAGACCTTTTGATCTAAAGCATACAAGTTAAACCATTCAGCTACCTAACCCGTATTTATTGGAGAATGTGGATTGAGGGTTAGGGTAAGGGTTAGGCTTGGTCCCAGGTTAGGGTTAGCGCTAGCCCTGTTTACATCTCGAGACTTTGACGAAATATGCAGGTCCTAACCTTTGACCTAACCACAATCCACATAATATGAAGTCATATGTGCTAAAATGTGCAGGACCGTCACCGATCTAGCGTTCTCCCTATGTAATCCAGAAAATTTGCTACTGGTGATTTGCTTTCCTGTATTATCACATAATAGATACAGGGGGTTGGATGGCGGAATGCTTAGTGTGTGCGCCTTGTATCATAAGGTCTGTCATTGAGTCAACTGGTGTGTTTTCGATTCTCCGGGTCCTCCGGTTTCCTCCCACTGCTAAAGACCCCTACACACAAGCGAGTTATTGAAATAAAATTAAAAACCATATGTTAGTCTCAAAATAACCTAGTTTGTGTCAAGTGGACCCTTAAACCCCATTTCTCTCTCTCTCACATAATAGATAAAATATAATGTCATTTACTAATGAAATTCTGTTTCATGTTTTTCACTTTTTAGACAAGAATTTTAGTAACACATGGTGTGCATTGGTTACCGATGGTAGATAATATTGTGGTTGTTATAGATGGAGAAATTTCAGAAGTTGGATCCTACGATGAATTATTAAGTCATAATGGGGCATTTGCTCAGTTTTTAAAGACATATCTAACCGAAGGAGCTGAATCGGAGGAGGATGAAGACCCTGATAGTAAGTTGTTCTGTAACTGAGTGAAATCTTGCACACAGTTAAAGCAACCGTGCATGGTTTGCATTTTGGTCAATCTGATTAAAACACAGATCCTATTTCGTTTCGTTTTTTATAGTTCACAATTTTGTTTTATTTGTCTGCACTACACTAGGATCTGGAAGAGTTGTTATATAACCTGCGTTCTGGATGGCATTAGGGATTAGCCAATGAAACCATCTGTTACGGCTACTTCTTGGCATGCGATGCACGGAACTGTTGGTTAACCACTAGAAACGTCAACGCTGATTGATTAATCAATGTCTGATATCATAGGGTCAAAAGCTGTTCATACGACCTCTGACGCAACCTTTTGCTACAACATGTCAGATCTTCATGTAGTGTAAGCCATTGAAAGTATTAAAAATCAAAACGAAATAGAGATGGCATTTTGAGGAAAATAAATTTCTCACGGCTTAATCCATGTAATTTGCAGTCAGATTGATTAATTAACATTTAATTAAGAAAAAAAATCAATACATCAACTCTAGGTAATCTCCTGACTTGGATTCAGTTGGATTAATGATTCCATGAAAACAATGGTGGCGATCATGTTTAAATTCCCCTCAGAGTCTTTCATAATCAGGAACTTCTTGCGACTCTGTATTGCAAGAATTTATTGAAATTCGTGGAACATTAATGGCATCAGGCAATATTTACAACTTTACACAATATCTGTCACATTTGAAGGACCTTGACCATTAACAGATTTTTGGACTTAAATAAAGTTTAGAAATTATAGAAATTGGCGTACTGTAGTATTTATTTATAATTCATTAGTTTATTGAATATTATCTTTGAATAGAATCTCGGCCATTATATAAATTTTCATTGAAATAAAATGAGGATTAAATCATTTTAATGCATTTTTGAATCCTATTAAAGTCTTTTATTCTTGCCTTGATTCACCCATTTCATGATGGTCGTAATTTCATTGTCTGATAAATCTCTTTATTTAAAATATTTTCAGTCCAACAGATAAAAAGTAAGATACTTGAGAGAGTTGATTCCGTTACGTCTGATGGTGCCACATCCGCAGATGAAAAAGAGCGAAAAAGAAAATTAAGGTTGGTTTTACAAGTTTTTTTTATTTTTTTTATGTTTTACAAAAGTAATTTTATGTTTTACAAAAATAAAGGGTTATAATTTTTAAGTTTCTAAAGTTTTTAAAAATTATATTTATTTTTTATTTACCTCAATTGTTTATTTTTATATATATTTTTTTTTTGCAAAAATAAGAATGTGTTTAATATTACGGTATCATTTGATAAATTGCTTTGGGTGTTTTTATTTTTTATCAGTTTAACAAAATCACCGGAAAAACTAATCAGACAGAGAAGTCGAATATCGGAAACTATTCCAGAAATACCCAAAGATAAAATACCAAAAGAAGGCGAAAGATTAATTTTAGACGAAAAATCAGAAACTGGAAAAGTAAGTTTGATTTGACAGCACTGTTAGTAAAAAGCCATATGTCGTTATCTAAAGAAAAAGTAGATAATAGGGGGGAGGGTCACATTAATTTCAATATTTAGGGCAATCTAATTACATATTCATATTTTATGAAATGAAATGGGGTTTAACGTCCTACTGTTTTGCTCTGAACTGGGCTAATGAAGATGGGCATACGCCATACAGTGTGCTATGAGGGAAATTTTGCCCGGACAGTGGCACTATGGCCTACTCTTATATCGAATTCCAACTGCCAAGGGATCTTTTATGTACACAGGACCTCGGTTTTTCGTATAATCATCCGAATGACTAGACAACTGTTCTTGTCAGGCCCTCCGTCCTGCATCACTGACAAGGGGGAACCACACAGGAAAATCTGCCATATTTTATGAGTATATGTTTATTCATTGTGGCCCACAATCCAAATTTATGAGAAGTCAATTTTAGTCACAACAGTATGTGACTTTTGATTCAATTCGGTTTGATAACATTGTGGTGTGAATTAAATTTACAACTACTTCTTTCATTTGTTTTTCACCTGTATTTACCAGTGTTGACTGACTGACAGTGAAATCGACAAGGTGTAGAAACTACCTGTCAGTCAATTAACAATTTAAAGAATAAATACAGTTAAAGGGGCGTTATTGGAGGTTAGATAAAGAGTTGACAGTTCTTGTTAGAAAAATTTAAAAAATTGATAACATAAATAGAGTATGCTGAAAATTTGAGGCCTCGATCATCATTACTAAAGTCGGTATGATAAAAAACAAAGTCTCTATTATCCATTTTTACATTTAATTATTTTTCAAAAAATATTTTCCAATCTGCTAAATATTGCAAGCTAACGGTGACATCGAGAGTTGATTATGGCCTGGATAAGTTAATAAAGGTCTAATTAATAATTCATATAATATTTCAGGCCTAAAGAAAGACCTGTAATAGGCAGATTTAGCTCTTGCATAATGTATGTTTAAATTATGTGGAAATAATAAGAAATAAAAAAAAATGGAATAATGCTAAAAATGAATAAATTAATATTACTAATCTAGAACATGATGTATATTTTTTATTACAGGTACATCTATCAGTATTTGTAGATTATATTAGAGCTGTTGGTTTCTTAGCAGCCTTTTTTATTATATTACTGTACGCTCTCTATCAGGCAGCTAGCGTCTATTCTAGCGTTTGGTTAAAAGATTGGACGGCTGATCCACTGTTAGCCAATAGAAGTATAGCAAATACCACCAAATATCAGGACAAGAATGCCTTGTATCTTGGAGTTTATGGTGCTTTGGGTGTTGGACAAGGTAAGATCGACTTGAAGTGTTTTCTTTGAATATTGGGGGGGGGGGGGGGTGGATGGCTGAATGGCTAGCACGTGCGCGCTGTACCATTAAGTCTGTCATTGAGTCAACTGGCGTGGTTTTGATTCCCCGGTTGTACGTGACAAGGAATACGGTCGTCTGTCCAACCTTGTGGGTTTTCTCCGGGCCCTCTGGTTTCATGGCACCGCTAAAGAGCCCTACGCACAAGCGAATTATGGAAATAAAACTGAACCATATGTTAGTCCTGAAATGACGAGGTTGGACAGGTGACCCTACTCCTTGTCGCGTACAACCGGGAATCGAAACCACTCCAGTTTACTCAATGACAGACCTTATGATGCAGCATGCACACGCTAACCATTTGGCCATCCCCCCCCTCCCCATGTCAAAACAGTTGAAATAAACTATTTTTTATGAATCAAATCGCATACACAACAAAGTTAACATAGATTATTTAAAACATCTTAATTTATTTTCCGTGTTTGATTGGATGACTCCCTGAAATAGATGCCCAGAGTTGTCTCCACCTCTACCGGTGTCACTGCATGAATGGGAAGTGTATTGAGATGAGGATATTAAAGTAGTTCTGATAATATTATATTTACTATACTATTATCACACATCAGTGTATCAATTATAGTCCATCTGATAATACTTAAAAAAAAAAATCTCCATCTGTCTTGAAAAACTCACCTTGTTAGTCTCAGAATTAACAGTCTACTGGTAGTTTTCCTGAACAAATACCCAATTAGTCTCAGAAATACTGTATTATAATCTATACTTTATCTATATATATATTTGTGACTGTCGTTTTCTGTCTGTCTGTCTGTTCGGGGTTGGCGGCTACACTAGGTCTGCCCCGAATCTGAAATTTGGGGTATAGGGGTAGCTCGGACCGGGGAGTAACATAGGCCAGGTGACGTTAGTCTACCACTTCCGGTTTCGGAGTTATGACCCCCGAGCGAATGCCGGTCTGTTCGGGGTTGGCGGCTACACTAGGTCTGCCCCGAGTCTGAAATTTGGGGTACAGGGGTAGCTCGGACCGGGGAGTAACATAGGCCTGGTGGCGTTAGTCTACCACTTCCGGTTTCGGAGATATGACCCCCGAGCGAAGCCGGGTATCCTGCTGGTTTATAAATAATGTATCCTGTTATTATGTTTTTATATATTAATCAGGTGTTCTTTCTTCATTTCAGCTATCTTTGTGTTGGCGTATGCCTTAATAGCCTCGGTTCGATTTATCAGAGCTGCTGGCGAACTTCACTTCCGGATGTTGGCTAACATTTTACGATCTCCCATGTCCTTTTTTGACACGACACCTGTAGGAAGAATCGTAAACAGATTTTCAAGGGATGTGGAAACTGTTGATAATAATTTACCATCGTTGTTTAGAAGTTGGTTGAATACTGTATCAGGTGTGTTGAGTACCCTGATAGTTATCAGTTATTCAACTCCACTGTTCTTAGTTCTGGTTATACCACTAGGTATTCTCTACTGGCTAATACAGGTAAATATTCACCTTGGAACACATGAAAACATAGCGGCACACCTGGCTAAATATATATGAAAAAATATAAGAATTTTGCAAAATAAAAACATGACAAGTCAGGCAGCATACAACCGTAGACAGAGACAAGTCATAGACACTCAAACTTAATAAAGAAAAACACAGCTATAAACTTATCAATAGACATCAGTGAATACTCAATTGGGATCACATAGTTTTTCGCATTTTCTTGGTGTGCTGTTCAAAATCCCGTGCCACACTTCCATGGCACACTGGTTGAGAATCACTGCCTTGGCTAAATGTCATCTTGTATTAATCATTGCAAGGAAAGTCGTTCGGATGAACCCAAATAAAAAGTGATCCTGTGCACATGAAAGAACCCTTGAGAGTTGGAATTCAATTGCTCCAAGTTGGAGATAATGTCAAGTTTGGCTTGAGATCTGGGGGATTAAAACACTGATCCTATTTCGTTTTGTTTTTTATAGTTCAAAATTTTGTTTTACTTGCCTTCACACCACTAGGATCTGGAAGAGTTGTTATATAACAGGCGTTCTAGTTGATGTGAGGAATTAGTCCATTAAACGGTCTGTTACGCCAAACTCTTGGCATGCTCTGCTGATTGATTAATCAATGTCTGATGTCATAGGTCAAATGCCACTCGTATGACCCCTCCCGGTACAACTTGTCAGATTTTTACGAAACGAAATATAGATCTGTATTTTGATCAGATTGAGAAGCTCTGAGACAATATGTCTGCTCATATATGTGTAGGATAAGAGTGGAGTGAGGCCAAAATGGTGGCAGTGCTTTGCACATTTGTTTGTTTCACGTTATTTTAAAATATGCTCTGGGGTGGGGGGATTCTAGGGCGGATACTTACCTACCTTAACTGTAAAACAGAGCATATTTTTACCTTGTATATATCGCAATTGTAAAATGAAATGATTATATATATGTTCCTTGTATTTCAGAGATTTTATGTTCCAACATCAAGACAGTTAAAACGATTAGAATCTACAACACGTTCACCTATTTATACTCACTTCGGTGAAACGATTGCTGGTGCGTCCACTGTCAGAGCTTACGGTTGTACACAAAGATTTATAGATGAATCACAATCAAGAGTAGATAAAAATTTAGTATTTTATTTTGCCGGTATTGCCTCCAACAGGTGAAATTTAAATTTTGTTTAAACAATATTTTATTCTTTTGATTTATTTGGGGCATGCACATAAAATAACCCTAGACAGTTGGAATTTCGGAATAAGAGTAGACCGTAGTGCCGCGATGCGGGCAACATTTTCCTCATAGCACACTGTATGGCATATGCCCGTCTTCATTAGCCCATTAGAACGCTCTAACCCCAATTTCATTTCATTAATTTATCTGGATTGAACAATATGTTACAAGTAAATAAGTTCGTTTTCTCCAATATCTTTAGAATTATAAATATCGTTCATTCCTTCGATTCATGAAACTGTTTTGAGTGCAGCTGAATTTTCTATTAGATTAAATTTGTTTATGAAAAACACCAGTTCAAATGATATTAACCTTTTCTTCATGACATAATTTAAGTTTAGATCAAAGAAGTATTTAAGAATTATAACCAAGTTTTTATGTGATTGGATTGAAATGGGGTTGTATATTGTCCATCCGTTTGTCCAGTGGTCCGCAATTGCTTGTGGATACTTTAGTGACTTCAGTTATAATCCAATTAACTTGAAATTTTGATATTGTGTTTATGTTCATGAAATGAAGAAGACTACTGCTATTCAACATAGTCTGATAGTTACTGTTGGAGTTTTTGTCCTTGACCATTTGAAAAACCTTGTGGATACACTAGATGATAATGTTATCATTCTGTTGCCTGTGGACCCTCATTCGATTAACTTGCAATTTATATGCAGTGTTTGTATTTTTTTTTTTAGACAAATTAGACTATTGACTTCCAACGGTATCTGTTAACTAGAATGACTAAAGTTTCCTGGCAACCTATCTTTTTGTTAGCTATAAGATCATATTTGAATATTTCAGGTGGTTAGGATTTAGATTAGAATTTTTAGGAAGTTTAGTGGTATTAGCTGCTGCTATGTTTGCCGTTGTATCTAATGATAGTGGTATTGTTGGTTTGTCTGTATCATATGCTCTACAGGTAAGTCTTTATGTATATAATAAATATGTATCATAATTATCTAGTTCTTTAACTTCTTTATTATTACTTCTTTCTGTCATTGAGTCAACTGGCGTGGTTTCGATTCCCCGGTAGTAGGATCACCTGTCCAATCTCGTAAGTTTTCTCCGAGTCCACCGATTTCCTCCCACTGCTAAAGACCCCTACGCACAAACGAATTATTAAATAAATGTTAGTCCCGAAATGACCTAGTTTGTGTCAAGTGGACATTAAACCGCATTTCTCTTCCTCTCTCACAAATTTGTTTCAAAAGAATAAAGTTAGAGGTGTCATTTGACAAGTGTTCTTCTTGACTGATTACTTCACTTTAGAGATCAAACTTTCACACTATTGTCCCACGTAGTTGACAAGGAATTAAAAATTTATATCGCTTGCAGAGAATGATAAATGGTGGGAAATTCTCAATTTATTTTGGACTGTTAATCCTTTTAGAGATTCAACTTTCACAATATTGTAGTTTACAATGGATTCAAAATTTCTCAGATAATAGAATGATCTGTTGTACTGTACACTAGATGTTTTAACATCAGATCACATGTATTATTGTGCACTTGGGGGTGTAACACAAAGGTGGCAATAAACAAATTAATACACAAAGTTGTATCACATAATTATATCCTAAGAAACACACAATGACACAACGAAAATGAGACTTTAATAATAATAATAGGCCAACACATAATAAAATGTATGTGAATATATAACAGTAGCCTGTAAATCAATTGTAGTTGACAACGGATTAAAAGTACCTAAAATGGCGTGATCAAGGACTTTAAGGTTAAATTGTTGAAATTCTAATTTTATGACCTGTAGATTGACTAACAGTTAAGTTCTTGAGTTGGTTAAAATGCCTCAAAAGGGGATCAGTGGCTTTCATTAAAATATTTGATGTTATTTTTGTTAATTAGGTGACGGGTTCATTAAACTGGATGGTGAGAATGACAAGTGATTTAGAGACTAACATCGTATCGGTAGAAAGAATGAAGGAATATTCTGAAACTCCAACAGAGGTATGAAAAACACTTCTTTAAACTTTAAACATTTGCAGTAATCCATATATTTTGATAAAAATCAGTAATTGAATACAATCGATTACGTCTAGAAATCAGGCAACAAATGTGTAAGGCACATGGTCAAGGGACATATCTTTATATAAAATTATTCACAACAATTTCATATTTTCAGGGATGTGTATTTCATATTTTCATCATTTGTCTTTATAAGATTATTCACCATAATTTCATAGTTTTATAAATGGTATATTTTATTCACAATGATTTAACAATCAATGGTGTATATAAGATTATTCACAATGATTTCATATTTTTATAAATGATGTATTTTATTAATGTACAGGCAGCGTGGATATTACCGTTTAGACGTCCACCTGCAGGCTGGCCAGGTCAGGGTGCTGTTAATTTTGTGAATTATATGACTCGATACAGACCTGGTCTAGATCTCGTACTGAAGGGAATAAGCTGTGAATTACTTCCAGGTCAAAAGGTAACTAACTTTTATAACATACTTTGTTTATTAATATATAAGAACACTATTGTATTCAGAAAATAAAATAGGGTTTGATGTCCTAGTGTTCTGCACCATCCAGACTAATCAAGACAGACATACACCATGTAGTGTGATACAAGAGACATTTTGCCCTGACAGTGGCGCTATGCCCTACTCCTATGTTGAATTTCTACTGTCAAGAGTTGATTTACATTCATGCCAATATGTTCACAGGGCCTCTGTTTTTGTCCCACCTGAACATCTAGAAACTAACTGTTCCTTGCAAGCCCCTTCCATCTCTTGCAAAATGTGGGCGTATCTGGCATGGCAACTGCTTGTTATTTTGGGGGGTTTTATCTGCTAAAATCTTCCCAAAATTATTTGATTTCATTTGTTAAATGGATAAAAATGTCTTCTATATGAAACGAGTGTAATGAATTGTGAATTTTACTAGGTTGGAATTGTGGGTAGAACTGGAGCGGGTAAATCATCGTTAACTGTAGCCTTGTTCCGTCTGATAGAATCAGCAGGTGGAAGTATCGTTATTGATGGACAGAAGATCAGTGATATGGGTCTACACGACTTACGTTCAAAACTTACCATCTTACCACAGGTAAATATTTTACATTGCTAGGGTGACCCATGCACTGTACAGAAATACAGTCCACCGCTGATAGTTAGAGACTACCACTGAAGCGTGCACAATCGCCGTGCCAAGACCAACTTTCTGACAGTATGATACTATAAATAGCCATGGCACGTGCAATTCTCTACAGCCGTAAAAAATTTATTGTTGACGATTTTGAATAGCAGTAAAATTAAGCCTCTTGGTTATTACAGCAGATTTAGAAATTACGTTTGTTTCATTTTTTAAATCGCTTTATCATTAACTGTACCCTTAAGAGCGGCATGTTTTGGTTTAGTACAAATAATATTTCTGAAACACTCGGGTTAGACAGGAACATGATACTAGCAGTAGTTTCATTTTACTTTTACAAGCTTCTTAAAACGATTGTTGAGCTACCTAACGTGCTTATTTCTAAATTCAATTTCTTGTTCTAGCTTTCTGTTATGTTTCGTAAAAAAGTAGTCTTGATTATCCCAACCTGTCAATCAGCCTTAGAATGGTCGATAGACTGGTTAAGCGAGACTAATTTCAAAACAAGGGCACGTAACCTATCTTTTACTCAAAAGTGTCTGGATGTTATGGACGACACTTGGAACCAGTTTTCATTCTATTATTTATAGGTGATTAATGGTCATAGCTTATTAAGTACAACATGATCGTTTATTTAGTGACTATAATTGTGTGAAACTGATTTGAGGCTTGGCATATATATAAATATTGTGGCGTAATTGTCAAGATATATGGAGATATTTATTTATGGTGGGTCACCCTAACATTGCTACAATAATAAACAATCTTCAAACACCCATAACTTAGCTCAGAATAAAGTCATTTGAATGAAATTTTCAATGTATTCATTTTGCATTATCATAGGAAGAACAGTAAGCTCTTTATCTAAATCTTAAACAAACATTATACAAGAGCTAAATCTGTCTATTGCAGGTATTTCTTTAGGCCTGAAATGCTATATAATCTATTAATTAGACATTTATTAACAAAACAAGACCATAATTAACTCTCGATGGTATCGTTAGCCTGCGATCTTTAGTAGATTATGAGCCGATTTACTGCATAACTTTCCTTAACGATTTAATGATTAAATGGATAATCGAGACTATGCTGTTTATCGTACTGACTTTAGTAATGATGATCGAAGCTGGGCGGAAATTTTAATCGCTTAGTTCTCGGTTGCTGGTGAATCAATTTGAATGAAATTTTCAGCAAATTGCCTTTACATTATCTAGTTTTTAACTATTATAGTGAGAACTGCCAACTCGTTATCAAATCACCCATAATGTATCTTTAAATAATGGATCTTTAAAGAGATAGTTTCATATTTTCTTAGAAAGTCAAAACATGATTATTTCTATATCTGTTGTTTAAAGGACAATATTGGTGCCAGTCATTATCACATATGTGTTAGAGCTGGTTAAACACATTCCAAATATACTTTTACCCCATAGATCATTGCTACGATAGCTGAGTAATACAGGTTTCCCGTATCGGAAGTGACGAACGCCAAAGGAAAACACGAGTCACCGCTCTATATAACTGACTGAAGCGACGAGTGATAACAGATACACGGCCGAATTTCTGCTCACTTATAATTCCTTTGAAGACCAACAGTTGTTGTGTGAGACTGTGAGAGGATATCTGACAATTCATAAAAAGAATTGACTGCCACTAGATAAGAGAACACGAAAGAAAAACAGAAAAAGTCTGTGCATTACCATGTTTTTATAAGGTACAGAATGAATATAAACAAGGGAATGTACGGACTATTTCTATTTTTCTTGTGTTCTCTTATCTAATGACATTCAATTACTTTATTGAATTGTCAGATATCCTCTTACAGTCCCATATAACAACTTTTGGTCATCGAAGGAATTATTAGTGAGTAGAAATTCGGCTGTGTATCTGTTATCACTCGTCGCTTCAGTCAGTTATATAGAGCAGCGACTCGTGTTTTCATTTGGCGTTCGTCACTTCCGATACGGGAAACCTGTATTGCTCAGCTATCGTAGCAATGATCTCTGTGTTAAAAATATATTTGGAATGTGTTTAACCAGCTCTAACACATATGTGATAATGACTGGCACCAATATTGTCCTTTAATAGGTTGTCAATTATACAATCATAGAAATCATTCTCCCACATAAGATTTTCAAATATATTTACTCCCCATGTATAAGACTTTATTTTAATATATTTTAAACAGTTATCGTTTTAATTATGCGGTAATGCTTGTCTGGCATGTTACCTTGCAAAAGTAGGTTAATTTATATATTATCAATATTTTAGGATCCAGTGTTGTTTTCTGGAAGTCTGCGAATGAATCTGGATCCGTTTGATAAACATACAGATGAAGAACTTTGGGTGGCACTAGAACATGCCCATCTACGTAAATTTGTCTCAGAAGTACCAGAAAAGTTGGAATATGAATGTGGAGAAGGTGGCCATAATCTGAGGTATTGTATATTATTATTATTACAGCATATTTCAGTCTGATTAAAATACAGATCTATATTTCGTTTCGTTTTTTTATACTTTCGATGGCCTACACTACATGAAGATCTGACAAGTTGTAATCGAAGGTCGTATCAGGGGTCATACAAGCGGCTTTTGACCCTATGACGTCAGACATTGATTTATCAATCAGCGTTGACGTTTCTAGTGTTTTACCCACAGTTCCGTGCATGGCACGCCAAGAAGTTGTCGTAACAGACTGTTTCATTGTCTTATCCCTCACTTCAACCAAAACGCTGATATTATAACAACTCTTCCAGACCCTAGTGTTTTAATTACATTGCAGCATATTTATTGTGCACCCCTTCACATCATGTGTTCAGGGGCACTTTACAAAGTGACAATTTAATAATAAATCTATTTAAAAAAAATCAAGGCGTGTATGTTCGCCTACATGCTTCACCGTCGCACTCGACCCCCACATATCTGGTATCAAATTAACCAGCATGACTGTGGGAATGTTTTAGGCCATCGAATTTGGGCCTTAGGCAAATTGGGCCCAAGGTGAATTAGGGGCTAGGCGAAGCCCGATAACCTGCTAGGTAGACAATAAAATATATAAAAAAACCAACAAAAGTATGTTAAAATTTGTTTATACAGTCAGTTAAAAGCTTGTAGGAAGTGGAGAGGAAGTGGGGTGTGGTTGGGGTGTTGTCGAATGTTCAACGGTGTCACTGATTACAGGTCTGTTATCTGTGCATGCCATGAGTTGATAACACAATTCTACTTGACCATGGAGTATGCAGATTTTTACAAGTTTGCACCAATTGCTAAAGAGCTTTGTATGCATGTCTATTAGTGAAATTTTGTTTTTTGGTACCAAAATACTAAAATAATTACTGGTTTATATACTATTCAAAAAAAGTAGGGGATATTTGATTTTGGGGGCATAATACTAAAATATGCAAATGACTACGAAAAAAGTCACTATAGAACCTAACAGAAGAAACATTTCCAGTTACATGTGACGCCCAAACGCACCAATAGCTACCGCATGGAAACATCAGTTTAATTGTTTTAGTGACCAGAAAACAAATTTTGATATGCGTCGGCTTACCCAAAATGAAAGGTTACGTGCCCTTGGCATGCTACAGATCGGCACAACACAGGCGGTTGTGGCGCGGACGATGAATGTTTCTCAGTCTGTCATAAGCAGGCTATGGTCCAGATACCGTGATACACAATCTGTACAGGACAGACCACGCTCGGGTCGACCAAGGGCGACAACTCAAGCCCAGGATCGATTTATCCGTACCTTGGCCTTGAGAAATCGTGTCATCACAGCAAATCAGATCAGCGCTCGTCTTCAAACAGACACTGGTGTGAGAGTGAGTGGCCAGACGATTCGGAATCGACTGCATAGGGGTCACCTTCGCGCCCGACGTCCTCGCGTGATCCCTTGTTTGAGAGATCATCACATTCAGGCAAGACGTCGTTGGTGTAGGGATCGTCAACACTGGGATAATCGACGCTGGAGCAATGTGATGTTTTCAGATGAGTCAAGGTTCACTGTTGATTTTTTGGACAGACGTAGGAGGGTGTGGCGTCGTCGAAACGAGCGCTTCCAAGACGTTAACGTCATCAGACATGATCGATTTGGGGGTGGTTCTGTTATGGTGTGGGGAGGCATCACTGTTGCTGGAAGAAAGGCTTTACATGTTGTTGCAGGGCGTGTTACAGGCCAGTACTACCGGGACAACATCTTGGCAGTCCATGTTGTGCCGTTCGCACGACGTCATGGCCGCCGTTTCATCTTCCAGGATGACAACGCAAGATGTCACAGGGCCAGGATCGTTACAGGTTACCTCCAACAACAGAACATCACCACATTACCTTGGCCAGCACTGAGTCCCGACCTCTCCCCCATCGAGCATGTCTGGGACATGCTTGGACAGAGGTTACGTCAACGTCAACAACGTCCTGCCAATGTCCAAGAACTTGCTGCTGCGTTGCAACAGGAATGGGACAATCTGGACCAAAATGACCTTAGACGTCTCATTAGGAGTATGCCACGTCGGATCAATGCTTGTTTGGCAAACAGAGGAGGATTTACCCGTTACTGACTTGGTTGTGATGCTGTGGTAACTTTGCTGTTTGACCCCGGGTATTATTTTACCCTTATAATGGTCAGTCTGTGCCTTACTTAGTCTAACGATCATTTGGAATAAATCGATGAATGTGAACTTCATTTCATTTTGTCATTTGTTTCTTCGTCAGTTTCATTAGGTGACTTTAATAACACTTAAAAATCAAATATCCCCTACTTTTTTTGAATAGTATATAACGTTTTGAAGATAGTACTCTTGTTTTTAACAAGCAAATGATAACTAAAACTCTACAGTTAAGGTATGTCTACAGTAATATAAGTAGGTAAAAATATAAACATATATAACAAGCACTTGTTAGCACCAAATTGACCTAGTTGTGTTGAGTGGATGTTAAAGATCCCCTGATAGTTGGATATTGAAATAAGATTAGATCATAGTGCCATGCCCCAGGCAGAATTTCCTTCATAGCACATGTCATGCTATATGTCTTTGTTAGCCGGGATTGGTAGAGAAAAATAGGAATGTTATACATAGAGTAACATAAAGAACTGACCCATGCATTTTGTCTTATACCTGGAAATATTCGTTCAAAATTCTGTTAATACATTTAAATGTGATTATATACTAATACAAATCCATTTCTTTTTCTTTTTTTTTCAGTGTTGGTCAGCGCCAGTTGGTATGTTTAGCGAGAACTCTTTTACGTAAAACTAAGATATTAGTTTTAGATGAAGCTACAGCAGCTGTTGATATGGAAACCGATGACCTCATTCAACAGACAATAAGAACAGAATTTAAAGATTGTACAGTGTTAACGATAGCTCATAGATTAAATACTATCATGGACTATGACAGGTTAGTGTATCTGAAGAATTTTTATTATATCCATCAGTAATTGCAGTTGTAAATGTTTCAAGCACCAGTCAGGTGTACTGTGGGGTGGGGGGGGGGGGGGTGGATGGCCGAATAGTTAGTGTTTGCACACTGCATCATAAGGTCTGTCATTGAGTCAACTGGCATGGTTTCGATTCCCCAGTTGTGTGTGACAAGGAGTAGGGTCGCCTGTCCAACCTCGTGGGTTATCTCCGGGTCCTCTGGTTTCCTCCCACTACTAAAGACCCCTAGGCGAAAGCAAATTATTGAAATAAAATTGAACCATATGTTAGTCACGAAATGACCTAGTTTGTGTCTAGTAGATGTTAAACCCCATCTCTCTCTCTCTCTCAGATGTGCTGTTCGTTCCTTAGTTAGTTTGGCTTAACATCTGTTTTTCACTTAGAGTTAAATCGGTGACATCAGGAGTGCCAATTAAGTCATATGGATTTTTTTTATATACCTCACATTTCAATGTTGACCATATACTGTCCTCGCCAATGTCCGTTGGTCTGTTGTCCACATTTGCTTGTGGACTCAAGGGGCTGGAAATTAATGTTTTTAGGTTCATGAAATGAAGAATCCTATTTCCGATAACTGGAGTAGCTAAAGTTATCATGATTACCGACACATGTATTGCATAATCTATGTTAGGAAGAACTAAATTTGAGTTATTTCTGATAATTACTTCATGGGTTGATTTTGGTGTCCTTTAATTATCTTCAAGATAAATGTGTGACAGCCTATGTTTTGTTACCTACCAACCCATCTTCAAATATTGTTATTATTCTTCTCAAACAACATAATATTATAATTGTTCTTTTATTTCAGAATCATAGTGTTAGATCAAGGCAATATCAAAGAATTTGATGCACCAACTACTTTACTACAAAATAAAAACAGTAGTTTTTATAGCATGGCAAAAGATGCTGGCTTGGTTTAAAGCAAAATGGCAAATCGTTTTTTATATCATCAGTTATATCATTCTAAATCATACATCCAAATCTTGATTTGTCATATTTTAAATCATAGAATAGGACTGATAGAACTTTTTTATATAGATGAATGATGCATAGAAATAGTAACCCAAGGGTTGTTGCCATGGAAACTAACATTTGTAGTGCAGATTTGTTTTTTTTTAATTATTTTTTTTTTAATTATACTTCATAAAAAAAAAATGAAAAAAAAAAAATATGTTGGTCACGTCAAAAATGGGATTATCTAAACAATCTCAGGTTATTGTTATTAGAACCTCTACTAAAGACAAATTTCAATGTAGATTTATTCCGAACTTTGTATTATTAGTTTTTGTTCTGTGTTGTTGATTTGATATATTGGCCTGTTCATGTAACATTGTTTACAACATAATATCTATACTAATATTTGTGACAGTCTGTTCAGGGTTGGAAGTTACACTGGAGCTGTCCCGAGGCTGAAATTAGGTGTAATGGGGTAGCTTGGACCAGGGAGTAACACAGGTCCTGTGCCGTTAGCCTACTGCTTCCAGTTTCGGAGTTATACTACTTTCAACCCATGCAGCGCCGGGTCATCCGCTAGTGTGAAGATAAAACTAGTGAAACTTTTCTCTTTTATATTAAGATTTCTATGAAAAAGAATTGTTTTTAATAATCATATCATTTATAATTATTCATAATGAGAAGTACCGGTATTACTATCTATTTTTTAAATGGCTATATCAGAAAGTCTCAAAACAAGATAGATGCACTTGTTTAAATATATTTGTATTTTAATTATATATTATTTTTGTGAGCACTATAAACAAAACCACAATTTATATGATAAACGAACACTTGTCCGTACACATATAGCACAACATTTCGATAAGTGTTCTCATATTGTTACTGAGGGGTTGGATGGCTAAATGGTTAGCATGTGCACATTGCATCATTAGGTCTGTTATTGAGTCAACTGGCATGGTTTTGATTCCCTACTTATACATGACAAGGAGTAGAGTTGCCTGTCCAACCTTGTGGGTTTACTCCGGGTCCTCCACTTTCCTCCCACTGCTAAAGACCCCTACACACAAGCGAATTATTGAAATAAAATTGAACCAAATGTCAGTCCCGATATGACCTAGTGTGTGTTGAGTGGACGTTAAACTCCATCTCTCTCCCTCTCCCTCGTTACTAACTTATCATTTGTGCTTGATAACAATATGAAAGAATACTTGTCAAAGACATCGTGCTATATGTGTATAAACCAGTGATTGTTTTCCATATAAATTGTGTTGTGTATTTTATTGTATGTACTTAAATGATTAATGGAAGTCCAACAGATGAAACAGATCTGATTGGATGATATACATTTAAAAATCGGACAAGATGACCTAACTTGTTGCACTCAAATATTTATCAGGGTAAAAATTGAATATAGTTTGTGATCTATTGATTGTATTATTGATTTTATCAATCCATTTCATTCTCATTGTAATATCAACAAGATTTTATATTTTATCATGAAAAGATGGGTTGCGAGGTAACGAAACATACACCCACAGCAGCTAAGTTGTCAGGGCAGTCAACAAGGATTGTCGCATATTTTTTTCATTTGTTAGTAAGGAGAACGTTTACAACACATTAAAATCTTACTACAATAATAACCCATTAAAGATACATTGTGGGAGATATTTATAGAGAGTTGGCCATTCTTGCTATAACAGTTCAAAAGTAGATGATGAAAGAAGAATATATTGAAAAATTCAGTCAAATTAATTTATTCTGAACATAGTTATCATCGTTGTAATATTTGCCTAGAAATGGTAGCGAAATGTGTCTTCACCTTCGCCGAACGTTTGATTGACAGGCGTTGACTCCACCTACATATCTCGATTATCAAGTAAAGTTTTCAGTGGCATACGGAAACGCTTTACAGCGGCCTCGCTAAGTACACTCTATCATTAAGCCTCGATCTAACTGACGTATTTTCATCAGGTTACCCCTTATCTGATTTAATCAATTAGTGAAATCCTATTTAAATCCGAGCTGTAGCCGAGCCATCCGTGGGTCTACAGAGTTGATATTGGTCTTGTTGTTTAAATAAAGGTCTAATTTATAATTTCTATAACATCTGAAGCCTAAATTAAGACTTGCAATAATCAGATTTAGCTCTTGCATAATGCATGTTTAAGTAATTATCAGAAATCATTAGAATATGTTTCATAACCTTGAACAATTTATATTAACTTTAGCCTCTAGAGCATCCACAGGTTTTTTCAATTATCGGAAATTGTTGAAAATAAATAGGATCCTTCGTCTCATGACCTTTAACAATGTTTATAAATTTAAAGTCAATCAGATATTGTCTTTAAGTTAAGTGGCATGGTTTTATTTCCACGCTTGTAAGGTCACCTGTCCTTCCATTGCTAAAGATCCCTACACTCAAGTTAATTATAGAAATAAAATTGAAACATGTTAGTCCCAAAATGATGTTAAACCCCATTTCTCTCTCTGAGTGGAATGGAAGCATATATAAGCCAATTATATTCCATTTAGAAATCCAACTCTCACAATGCTCCAGATCGCAAGGGATTCACAGTCCATTAAACGATGATCCTGGACATCATATCCTGGACATCATATCCTGGACAAAAGTCCAAAAGAAATTTGAAATTTCGCTAATAATATACCTCTCATATTTTTTTTAGATTTACATATTACTCTAATACATTTGTTGTTTTGATACAGAAATATATTAACTAGTGCCAAGTAATTCCATTTGTTCATGCACATGGTTGTAATTAGTTTTATTTTCTCAAGCTGTAACATAATTCTTTGATTCTCAAGTGTCAAATTTTCTTCTTTTTTTTTTTTTTTGGCATCAATTTTAGACTTGTGTGAGATTTTGATTTTGCCATGAAACTGCTCATTTGTTTTGATCAATGTATATATATATATATATATATATTTAGATCATTTGTTTTGGTTTTGCTCACGATTTTTATATGCATTTAATTTGTGCTTGAAAACTTAGCGAATCGTCACGCTATGTAGAATAAATCTGTGATTGTATTCCATAGGCCTATAAATGGGCCTTGTGTATTTAAATATAAATGTGTATTGTCATCCCGTCCGTCCACAATAACTTGTGAATGAAGACTTTGCCGATCAGAGTTCTTAAAAATTTGCAGGAATTGTGCTTTGGGCCAAAAGAATTTTTCATTCGCTAATTGTGGACTGTGGAGTTATCTACCCATATGAAAGCTTGTGAATGCGATACAGGACTAAGTTCACAACAGGATTAAAATCTGAGTGACCTTGTTAAAAAAGATTCCTATTGATTTGTAGAAATTATTTGTTACCATGCATGTACATAATAACAGTTTCTTAAGCTTATACAATTTTCTTATTTATATTCAAACTAATAAAATGATATAACAATGTATATTTAAAGGGACAACAACACTCTTACTGGCTTGACAGCTCCAGAAAATAAAAAATAGCCCTATTCTAAGTACTAGATGTGTTAGTGTCCTACCTGTTGTGTAAATTATCCATTAAATCCTATTTTACTTGTCCAGAGGGTTCAAAAATATTTTTAAATCCAAGTCACATTTGAAAAGCTTTACGTCAGGCTTTTCAAATCATTTAGTTGAATTTTTCCAATTTTTTAAATTAGGTGTGTTAAGATGAAATTTGTATCATCAATTAATTGGAATATTGTAAAATAGTACAATTTGTTTACTAGAATAAAGATTGGGACATATTATTCAGTTACAACAAGAGTGGTATTGAGCCTTTAAAAAAACCCATTTGTTGTGTTAAATGGTTGTGATAATAGATGATATATAGCCGAATCTTGGGTGATTTAAACAACAGATTACTGGAAATAAGACAGATTCTATGGAATATAATTACTAAGCTCGTTAATGGTATACCATAGAATGGTGTCCAATGTATTTCCAGTTCAATGGTTAAATTCTAATTAAATAGTTTTTTTTAAAGAGATAACTTATAATATTTACATTATTAATACATATTAAAATTATATACAAAATAAAGTTTATATAAAGAAATAAAATGAGTTTTAATGTTCATTTGATGCAAGAGAAATGGGGTTTAACATCCATTCAACATAAACTAGGTCATTTAGGGACTAACATATGGTTCAATTTTTGCTTCAATAATGCACTTGTGCGTAGGGGTCTTTAGCAATGGGAGGAAACCGGGGAATCGAAAAGCATGAAACTGGACTCAACGACAGCTAAACGTTGTTTTCACGTGCATGCATTAAACCATTAGACCACCCAACCCCCTCCTTTTATATGCCTATCTTCATTAGCCAGATATGTCCTTTTAATGCACCAAACTGGGTAATGAAGATGGGCGTATGCTGTGCAGTATGTGTGCTATGAGATAATTTTATCTGGAGTGTTTCTGTCTACTCTTCATAGAAAATTCCAGTAGTTTAATTTTTTTTATGAGCATGCCAAGGAGGGGTGGGTTAACTTTGTTTTTTTGTCCGATCCCAACCACTGGGCACTTTTTCGCTGCCAAGCCTTCCTTCGTGCGCCACTACTAGGGAAACCATACTGGCGAAACCAGAACAAAACCGCAAGGAATTATCTAAAGAAGATTCTTGTCCGAAGCCCCATTAGAATTCAGGAAATGGGATCGCAGTTAAAATTGCATTTGAGTGATGACCAAGAATAATAGATTGACTTTCCATAGTTCATTGACAATGTCGATAGTGACGTTTTTTACGGTTAATGCTTAATGATAAGGCCAGCTCAATTTTTCGTCATAGTTCCAAGGGCGTTGATTTGTCATAACTTTTTTTTTTTGGGGGGGGGGGGGCGGACAAACCCTGTAACATTTCATTACCAAACGAAACAAATAATTACGAACAGTTTACTGTACCAGTGTTATTTCGATGAAGGCTGTAACTAGGGGTAATATGATGACAATATGGAAAATTGACTACCTACATCAAAGCTGCATAAATATATGAAGTTAAGTGAATCGTTCTACGATCTAGACTGTTCTTTTTGAATATCTTGGCAACATGAAGGGGGTCATTATGCACCGCACACACCCTCAAGTGGTTCAGTCGGTTTTGCGTCATGGAGTTGCGCAGCCAAGGTTTGATACGGCGCAGAGTGCTGAAGGATTGCTCGGCTGAGCAGGAACTAGCCGGGTTCAGCAGTTTGAGATGAGAAGAGCTTCGACAGAAGGGAACATCTTCCGCACTTCAGATTACATAATGAAGAACGCACGTGCATTTCAATGAAATACGTCGCGCGAGTCAAATATTTCCACCACAAATAGTAGCCTATTTTATTTATAATTAGCAAATGTACGCTTGGCACATTATTGCCCGTACCATTAAATTTGAAATAATGGTACGCGACACATCTGTATTTTATAGAGGATAATATGGGTTAGCTCTTTAATCACGATGGTGTTAACTACCGTTGTCGTTTAACGTACGCTTTCACCGCTGGTGACATCGCAGACAAAATAGCTCAATGAAGGCTAAAAATAGCTTTAGTTTTGATTGGTTAAACAGAATGTGACGCATTTTGTCAATATTTATTAGGTGATTTCCCTTATGATGAAAACCCCACGTGATGAAAATAACGACCAATGAAAAGTAGACATCCGTGTGTTTACCACTTCAACCATTCTGGACAATCGGAATTTACAAGAAGCTTTATATTAGAGTCAGTTTTTGTCATAAATATTTTTAAAACCCAAGTTTGAATTGTGTCATTGAACTCGAATATATTTGAGAATCACGTTGCAAGCCTACCAGACGATTGAATCGAAATTTTGATGGTAAGTGTGGGGGTTAAATTGAAATAATAATATGCTCCGACGCTTCGTAATTGTCGTAAACGTGTACGCCGAGCGTTAGTGAATCTAGATCAAGTTGTTGTTTACCTGATCGTTGAGTATAGGGCGTGTACGTGCCTGTCATTTATGTCACGTTGCATAACTACTCGTTTTTATTACCCTACCGGTGAAAACCGAATGGGGCTATAAAGGTTTTCTTTCGACCTTCGAATTCGGCTCGTGTGGCCTCCGCGCCTGTTTAGTGTCTGAATTTTTCATTGAGACACCGGCAATTTCTTTGAAATTTGGTAAACAGCTGTAGCAGCGTTACAGATTTAGTTACTTTTCGTGGCATGCCCTTATTTCTTTCTCTTTTTAAAATTAAATCATGGTAGTTTTTCTGTGTATTTCTGAACAAAATAAAAAAAAAAACACAGAGAAACACCAGAAATTTTTTTTGATAGATCTATATACAATGTAGCTACTACAGGAACAAAAATTCACTAAATTCTTTAAAAAACCAACACTAATTACTAAAAAAAAACAACCCTAAATACCAAAATACGGAAATATTGGGTTCCCGGGCACCAAGCCTTAGCAGATCAACCACCCACATGTATTGGCTCATTTGGACGCCCAGGTCCCAGTAGGCTTTTCCCTCGGATCACACCTAATACAATATGGATTTTCATGAAATAGTGGTAGGCCCTAATTGCAACCTGTATTGGGATGTTTTCAAACAAGATTTTAAAGAAAATGCACTGGTGAATGATGTAAACGGCAAAAATTGCCGTCCGAAAAAAAACGTAACCCCTAAATTCAATGACCCACCTAGAGTGCCCCACAATTTTTATAAGCCTTATGGGTGACCTAGCCATGATTCATGACCAACTTAGAGTGTCCAACTATATTTATGCGTGGGCTAGCTTGACCCATCACCAGTCTGTAAGGTGTCCACCATTTGCAGTGAGAGTTCCCACAATTTTTATGCATGGCCTAACCTGACCCATGACCCACCTAATAATTTTTATGTGTGGCCTAAGGGTTTTCATATTTTTCCAGTAATCAGTATCAAATTTTTTTTATTTTATGGATTTTTTCGAAAATTTTTGTTTGGTATATACAGCCACATTTTCTACCACCATAATATTTTGTGGCATATGTTCCTAAGCCACAAACATCCATGTCTATAAAGCACATTCATACAGTCTTTCAATTCATGCCTTGACAATAAAGGCTATTTATTTTGAACGATTTGTAATAAATAACTACGGTACACTGCCAGAGTTATTGCCCTTGATCACCTTGACAAATCTTGTAAATGACTGGCTAAACCATGGAACCTATTACACACAGTGCTGAGGTTTACGAAACAAAGGTTTTCAACATTTTCTGATGGTTACTGACAGTGTTATTGGCCCTGATTACTTTGAAAAATCTTGTGGACACCCAAAGTGTAGATGCCAAAGATATCTTCCAATTGATGTGAAATTTATTCACAGTTGTTATTTTCATTCAACGAGAAAACTTATTGTTTTTCAACAATTTCCAATAAATATCTGGATTCTCCCTGTTGCAAGCTAGATTTATTCATCTTGGAAAACATTTTATTAGAAAAAGAGTTGTCAGTTCTCACTATAATAGTTAAAAACTAGATGATGTAAAGGCAATTTGCTGGAAATTTCAGTCAAATTAATCCACTGAACCAAGAATTTAGCGATTGAATTTTAGGCCTAGCCTCCATCATTATTACTAATGTTGGTACGATAAAAAACATAGTCTCGAATCGACTCTTGATTATTCATTTTTATACGCCCACATTTTCATGTGGACGCATATTGTCGTCGCCCCTGTCCGTCTACAATTGTTTGTGGACACTCTACAGGTCACAATTTTTATCCGATTTCAACGAAACTTGAAATATAGGTTTATCTCCTTTAGATCTCGGTTCCTTTTGATATTGGCATGTATCAGACCATAACTTCGATGATTATGACCCCTGATTGCACGAAAAATCGCGTTTTTAGCTTGTGGACCCTATAGAGGTCATAATTTTTATCCGATTTAAAAACACGTTTTAGTATATCACCGTTACACCCTAAGGATGGTTGAGTTCGAATTTCGTAAAAATCGGACCAAAATTGACGGACAAAATGGCTGCCCGTCGTACTCAAATAGCGTAAAAATATGGTATATCAATGTTGTGGACCCTCTAGAGGTCACAATTTTCTTCTGATTTTGATGTAAGTTTATAACCCAAAGATCTCGGTTCCTTTCGATATTCGCGCATATCGGACCGTAACTTCCTGAATTATGGCCCCTGATTGTACAAAAAATCATGTTTTTAGCTTGAGGTCCCTCTAGATGTCCACAATTATTATCTGATTTAAAAAAACGTTCAAATATATCACTGCTACACCATAATTTTGGTTGAGTTCGAATTTGTGAAAATTGGGCCAAAACTGCCGGACAAAATGGCTGCCCCTCGTACGCAAATTGTGTAAAAGTATGCAATACGAAGGTTGTGGACCCTCTAGAGGTCACAATTTTTATCATATTCTGATGAAACTTAAAACAAATCTTTATATCCAAAAGATCTAAGTCCCTTTTGATATTTGTGCATTTCAGACCATAACTTTTGGATTATTGCCCCTGATTGTACAAAAAATCCCATTTGTTTTTAGCTTGTTCTCTATCCATCTCTTGCAAAATGTGGGCGTATCCTGTTTGTCAGCCGCCCGCTGGTTTGATTTAATCATGAATGAGTGTTGAGCAGCAGATCGGATTGTAATCCAGTAAATATCACAGGCTAACGATGGCATCGTTAGATGTTAAGTATGGTCTTAAGTTAATTAATGTGTAATTAATAATTGAGATAACATTTCAGGCCTAAAGAAAGACCTCAATAGGAAGATTTAGCTCTTGCATAATGTATGTTTAAAAAAATTATTCTTTTGTGTTTCTTCAGGATGATTTGTTGTGAAATTTAATCCATGAACCATAAACATGCCTGTTGAAGTAAAAACTAACATGCCTGGAAAGCTGTCCTCAAATGGATATGACATTTATATTAAACGCGAACCAGTTGAGTCTTCTGACTCCACAGTTGATACAGAAAAATTATCAGCAATATTTGAAAACTGTAAAATTTCTTCAAGTGAATGTCAAAGTTTCAAGGAGGAGATTAAACAGGAAGATGTCGCTGAAAAGGAAATCTGTAGCAAATTATCAAAAGTTACATTGAAGGAGAAGAATGATGACGGAAAAGATATTGAAGTCATAGTAGAGAATATTAAAAAAGAAGACGAATGTGGAGAAAAGAAAAGAGCTCTTGGCTCTAATGGTTTGGTTACTCGAGGCCCCGCAGGTGGAATACCAGCAACATTCACTCAAAGCCAACACAGTGTTCAAGCTCAGTATCAAAATGGCTACTCGTATTCACAGAGCATGCCATATTTCCAACAACCACAACAGAATCAATATGGAGGATATGACAACAACCAATATGTTAACAATATGACGAATGGTAAACGTCGACCTGAAGAAGATGATGAGACACCTTATAAGTATCAAGCTCCAAATATTGTACGTGAAGGTATGAATAATTTGAATATACCACTAAATATACAACCTGAGAATGTTACCAACCAATGTCACATGTCAGGTGGAATGATGTCGGTTCAAAATACATTCATGGTGCAGAAAACGAAAGTACAGTTTCCACCTTATGTTCCTACAGATGATAACGATGACCTCTCTAATTTTGGGAACTCATTAACTGATGAAAATGTCTACCAGAACTTTACATCCCCACCATTTACACAGATGCAGACACCCCACAGTGACAGCGTTTCTACAGATTATTTACAAGATGGTGGAAGCGAAGGGTATGGCAGCCCTGGTCATGAGTCTCAATATTCAACCATGGGTATTGATTCCCCTCCTCCCCACTCCAATTTGTCAGACGACAGTGGCATCTCCAGCCCAGATCATAGAAATTTGGATGCAGCAAGTCCGAGCAGCAACATGTCTGTTAATTCAGGCAGTCCAAGAAGTAATGTCTACGCTCCTAATCTGGGCATGCCCCAGCAATACACAAACACCGACTCCATGTCCTGCGATCAGACGACACATTTCTCAAATTATCAGACGACTGAGGTCAATTCACAACCTTCAGAACTTGATTGGGAAGATGAAGGTATGAAAGATATGTTAAAAGATGCTTTGGATGTTGTGGCTAAGGATTTGATGGAAATAAACCGAAGTAAGGAGATGAGAAAAAGGCAGACGAGCGGTTCACAGATGAAAAGTTTGAACAGCAATTTGAAGGATAATTTGGCCATAAATCCAAATAATAACTTGATAAATGTAACTAATACTACCCCACAGACATCAAGCAATGTTATCAGACCAGTCAACGCTAATAACAACAAGCCAGCCAATCTGCCATCAGTAAAGCCTCAAGCACCGGTTAATAATTCCCAGGTGGTCATACAAGCGGCACCTGTCAGTATGGGTACCCCTGCTGTTTCCGTGACATTGGCTCCAGTATCAGTGATGCCAAACACCAAACCCAACACAGTCATGTCAGGCGTGCCTGTTACTACCGGGCAGATCCTACTAATTGCTCCAAGTACGCAACCCCTGTTTGTCGTTAATCAACCCGTCAAAATTAATACACAGTGCAACCCCAAAAGACCAACCAAACCCACCTACGTCCCCATTCGACCCAAATTAGACCCTGTTTCTCCGAAAAAGTCGCCACAGAGTTCACCTGCTAATTCACCTAAAGGCTGTGATTTGAAATCTCAGATACCAGCAACTGTGACGGCAGCAGTAAAAAATAACAAACCTGTTCAACCTGTGACCAACACAAAAACTCCATCAAAAACAACTAGTACATGTACTACTACTACATCAAACAGCAGTGGAAAATCTAGTAAGTATATTATATTCTATTCAAATTCAAATTAACAATACATTTATTCAAACTAATTTATGTACATGTATCAAAAGTTTGCTTACACAAATCCTTCTCAAAGCATTTTAATCTCAAATAATGTCAGGTTCCCTCTGTCGTGCGATGTGTTATGATAGGATGGTCCCTATTGAGTCCTCGATCTGCTACATGCAGATACGTTTCGATACTATCAATGCGATTGCTATGAATGACCTTAATGTATGATAAAACCTGATAGGATTACTACGATTACTTGACGATTAAAACCACAATTTCAATCGTAGTACGCATCGTGATGGTGGGAGCTACCCATCTCACTAGAATCTTTAGCTTGTATTTGTAGTTAGTCACTGTCTATTTATATACATGTAAATATCAAAGAAAATTCTTCCATTATCCTCTGCCAACTTCTTTTTCTGCAGTTTAATCACAGAGTTTACTGAACATTTAAATCTCTCAATGTTCTCACACCTGTTAGCCATTAGATCAACATCAGACAGGTTGTCAATTAGCGGTACCCTTACATTTTTGTCATGTGGGTGCTCCATGTATGTTTTTCATGGCATCGAGTATTTTTCTAGTAAGATTAAGTGTCTCCGCCTTCCATATATACCAAATATATCATACTTTTATTGGAAATAACTTTCGTACCCTCAGTTCTTCATGTTTATAAAATTGTGCTGGAGCCATAAAAAGCTCCTGCCAATTTCAAAAATGAGAAAAAAGCTCCTGTAAAATACTCTTCATACTTATATTGCAAGACTAATTCTACATTTTCTTTAATTAAGGAGAGCCAAATTGTATTTACAGTATGCTTTAGTCTTGTTTAATATTTGATGAATATGGTAGCGTCAGAATTATCATCATGGAAAGGGATAGCTCGAACTTATGCAATTTAAAAGTGAACAAAAACTGAAAGTAGTTTATTAATCTCAACATTTAGAAGAGCGATTTGACTAATTTGGAAATTTGAGGTGCGTTGAGAGGAGCAGGAACGAAAGCGCACCTTAAACGTGAAGGACTGTACCCTATAAACACTTTGTGGGAACGTATCTCTAATACTTCAAAATCTAGGCCTACCATAGTTGTGTTTTATTCCACTAATTTAAATGGTTTGAATTTTTCAGCTACTTTATCAAGTAACCGATTAAATCTTGCTAGAAGAGCTGTTGCTGATTTAACAAGTAATGCACTACGATTTCAAGATGAAGATGAGGGCAATACGTATGTGAAATTTTCACTAGCTCTGTAGTAAAAGGTCATTTATATCTACATGTATGTACATGTGATTGGGTAGACAAACACCAGGTGTCCAGGGCTTCACATGGGATGTGTTCTATTGTGAGCCAGAAACCACCAGAATTGACAGAATTGCAATGGATGGCACTGAATTCAGTCCTGTCAATGTTTTTTATACACCCACATTGAAATGTAGTCATACATTGTATGTTGCCGTCGCCCCTGTCTTGTTGGTCAGCCAGGTATCTACAATTACTTGTGGAAGCTCTAGAGGCTGAAGTTAATATCCAGACTTTATACATGGTCTTGACACGAAAAAGTCTGCCGATAACTAAATCCATGATATTAAATGTTTTGTATACCAGATGTTAGTATGGAGTAGAACTAGAAGCCAATTACCCGTCTTCATTAGCCCAGTTCGGAGCAAAACAGTAGGACGTTAAACCCCATTTCATTTCACTAGAAGCCAAACAAATTATAATGATTTCTCATAATTACTTAATGGGTTGTTATTCTTAATCTGATTTTAGTGTCTTGTTAATGTTTCATTACTGACAAAAGAAAAAATATGCAACAACTCATGTTGTTGGCAGCTACCTACATGTACATGTATCTTTTATTAATGTGGAGTGTGGAAGTACACATGCTTTATAGACCTAAACCTAAATCGTTTTTTCACTTAATTGTCACTAATGATATTCCATATTATTATGTTGGATATATATTTGTACTGTAGATATTTACATGTGGCTGTATGTAAAGCTGATATATACTTCGTTCAAGCCTTATTAGAGAGATTAGAAAGAGAAAAATTAATAGGAATGATTGATGTTACAAACCTACGCAGACAGGTAATTATAATTAAAATACTTACATTTATATACCAACACAAACAGATCTGGATGTGTTTTACTAAATGGTTTTGTAGGGCTGTGTATTGCGGCCAGAAATTGTATTGCAATACTTGACAAAAGGTATTGTGATATACATGTATTGCAGTATTGCAATACTTCGATCAAGTCAGGGTTTATCACAAAGCACATTTTTATTTTGAATAGTTTTATTGTTTTTACAACTTTGGTTTTGGACACTTATTGTTTACTGCAAAGCCTATAATATGACTAATTATGTGAATACAGTTGAATACACATTTCACTTTATTTTTTTTTTACAACTTTGGTCTTGGCTTAGCAGACTTATTGTTTATTGCAAAGCCTAAATAATATGACTGATTATGCAGTCTTTATAAACAGTCTAGCTAACATTTGAATATAAAATAAAAGAAGAAAAACGTTGATACGTCAAAAATGTATCAACACAGTGTATAGTGGACGATCATATGCTTGTAAACCATATTTGTGCTTTTACTGGTATGCAATGAAACTAGTTACTACAATATGTCTGAAATATTGATAACCAGAGAAGTTGTATTGCCTGGCAGACTATCTTTGCTTTTGATATTTTGTGACATGTAACGCTAAATACTAGAATCCAGAAGCAAGGTTAAAACTTGAGAAAATTGTATCACTGCACACAACAGATATGATCAAAGTATAGCCTGACTATCTATTTTATGGAAAGTTCATTAACTGGTAAATTGATCTGTATAATAAAACTATATTTATTTTATAGACAACTTTATATTGTGCTGTGTGTACAAATAAAGCTGATATTGTGGAGATGTTGATAAAACATGGTGCAGATGTTAATACACTAGCTGAGGTAAGATATCATTTACAGTACACTAACTTGTCCCAGATTGAATCGCATTAGATCATAAGGTCTGTCATTGAGTCAAGTGGCGTAGTTTTGATTCCCCACTTGTACGTGACAAGGAGTAGGGTCGCCTATCCAATCTCGTGGGGTTTTTCCGGGTCCTCAAGTTTCCCCTAACTACGCGCAAGGGAATTACTGATATAAAATTAAACCATATGTTAGTCCCAAAATGAACTAGTTTGTGTTGAGTGGTTGTTAAACTTCATTTCTCTCTCTTTCTGTTGCAGTGATCACTTAAGGTGATTAAAAATACTGCCCTGTTTGCTTAATAATTCTTTATATCCTGGAGTTTTTTTTGTCATAGATGTTTAAAACGTCCTGTTTCTTTATAAAGTATTAATCGTTAAGAAGCATTTAATACCAGGGTAGAACAATAAACTATAACACATACTTATGGAAGAATAATTACTCATTTATTTAGGTGACGTTTCGAAGAGTATTCTCTTAACGTTATCAAGCTAATATATTGATAACGTTGAGAGAATACTCTTCGAAATGTCGCCCAAATAAATAAGTAGGTGTTTTTCCATAAGTATATGTTATAGTTTATTGTTTATAAAATATAGTATAAACTTGTGAAATAATGGTTATATCTATTTTTAACAGAGAATGGTACAAGGAGGTACTGTACGTGAAGTTAGAGCAGCGGTTCATGTAGCTGCTTCAAATGGTAAAGAATATCTAGAAACATTAAATGCTTTATTAAAGAGTAAAGAACTCAACTTGAACATTGCTAACTCAGATGGTAAGTGTCCTATATGTTTGTCATACCCACTCCCTCTGTATGTAGGGAGTTGTGGGGGCCGAATGGTCTTAACATAGTGCTTTAGATGATAAGTATATAATTGTTACACACACACTGTGTGTAGTAGGAGTCACGGTGGCTAAGTGAGTAAGTGGTGCAGGATGGAGGGCCTGACAAGGACAGCTGTCTAGTTGTTTGGATGGGATGAAAACCAAGGTCCCTTGTACAAATTGGTGTGCAAATAAAAAATCCCTTGGCAGTTGGAATTCGATATAAGAGTATGCCATAGTGCCACTGTCCTGGCAAAATTTCTTTCATAATGCACTGTATGGTGTATGTGCGTCTTCAATAGCCCTGTTGGAGCAGAACAGTAGGACGTCAAACATCATTTCATTTCTTACAGTATGTAGAGGGGGGATCACGTGGCTAAGTGGGTAAGACGCTGGCTCGCTAGCCTGGAGGTCGGGTGTGCGATACCTGCATTGGCTGAGAAAGTTCATTCAGATTTTCCGGTGTGGTTTCCCCCTTGTCAGAGATGCAGGATGGAGGGCCTGACAAGGACAGCTGTCTAGTCGTTCGGATGGGACGAAAAACCGAGGTCCCGTGTACACATTGGCGTGCACGTAAAAAATCCCTTGGCAGTTGGAATTCGATATAAGAGTAGGCCGTAGTGCCGCTGCCCGGGCAAAATTTCCCTCATAGCACACTGTATGACGTATGCCCGTCTTCATTAGCCCAGGTTAGGAGCAAAACAGTAGTACGTTAAACCCCCATGTCATTTCACTTCATTTCAGTATGTAGAGGGTGGGAAGGCGGGGCTCAATTGTCAACCAATACACTTTATATCATAGAGTCTTGTCATATATTCAAGTATCATGGTTTCAATCCCATACTTGTATGTAACAAAGAGCCTGTCTAACCTTGTGGGATTTCCTCCCACTGCTAAAGACCCCTATGCTCAAGTGAATTATGGAATTAAAACTGTACCATTTTAGTCCCGAAAAGTTTGTGTCCTGTGGAGGCTAAACCCATCTCTCTCTCTCCCTCTCTCTCTCTCTCTCTATCTCTCTCTGATAAGATTTACAGACAATAATTTAAAGATGCATTATGCAAGCAAAATGTCGATATAGAGCTGGCTGGATATAATATTTATAAAGATAATGTAAAATGGCTATTATTCTGAGTTAACTTATGAGTGTTTTAAGTTTTGATCAGATAGTCACGATTGTATAGACCCCTAAATGCAGGTGAATTAAATGTTAGTCATGAAATCATCTAGCTTGTCCCAAGTGGATGTAAAACCCCATTTTGCTCACTCGCTCTCCCTCTCTTAAGTTATGTTTTATAAATTAACAAGCCTTAATTTAACTATAATTTTTTTATTATGAAACATTAAAATAATTGATTGTATTAATTACAGGTCAGACAGCTTTACATTGTGCTATATTATGTCATAATAAAGCGAAACAAGACTCAACAGACTGTATTGATAGTACACCTATCATAGAGACTCTAATACAACATGGTGCTGATATTAATGCTCAGGTACATCTTTCTTCATTTATCATAAACGGGGTTGGATGGCCGAATGGTTAGCGCATGCATGTTGTGTCATAAGGCCTGTCATTGAGTCAACTGGCGTGGTTTCGATTCTGCGGTCGACGTAACAAGGAGTAGGGTCGCTTGTCCAACCTTGTGGGTTTTCTCCTCCCACTGCTATGCCCCTATGCGCAAATGAATATTGAAATAAAATTGAACCATGTGTTAGTCCCAATATTGCCTAGTTTGTGGCGAGGACGTTAAACCCCGCCTCTCTCTCTCAGTCAAATTACTTTATTCTGAGCAAAGTTATGTGTGTTCAAAGTTTTGACAAGATAGTCTCTATTGTATAAGTCTCATTGCTGCGATAATAAACAAAGTCTTGATTATCCATGTTATTTTATTGTTAAATTATTAATTTGAGAAGGTATTTTAATCAATTCAATATATACATGTAAGCCATCCAATAGACTAGAGAGGTGATTATAGGCTTGTCATGTGAATAATAATAATATATATAAAATTAGAGCCAGACAAAAGACCTACAATAGGCAGATTAAGCTGTTACATAATGCATATTAATTTAGAAGAATCGTAGTTTTATAAGCTTCCTTTCTTTCTTTCAGGATAAAAAGAGCGGGAAGACACCTCTAATGTACGCACTAGAATCTCGAAGTCTTCATCTTATTCACACAGTCGTCAAACAGATAAAACAGGACAAGATGAGAATGTATTTACGAACGCAATCATTCGACGGAAACACGCCACAAAAAATCTTAGAAAGTCTGAAGACAGTACTTGATGTGAATTCATGGCAGAAAGTTCATGATATGTTAATGTGTTCTAACAAAGATGTTAGTTGTTTTAATATCCATCAATAAACAAAGTGAACTCTTGACCTCGTCAAGTCATAATTTTACCAGTGATGCTAATTTGGACGATCGACCTCCTTAAGTCATAATTTTACACGTCATGGTTATTTGGACGATCATTATATAAGTGAACTCTTGACCTCTTTAAAGGAGCTAAATCACTAACATTTGGGACCTAGAAATTCACAAAAGTGGGTCCCAACGCATATAATACTGTAATATGAATGTATATAAACTGATTTACATTTAATGGTTTCCGTTTTTACTCCAATTTCAAATCAGTTATGTTCGGCGAAATAAGTCAGCAATCTCAATCGAGTGCAAATTTCTAGCGTCTAGTTATTCTAGTCTACATAACTCCATTTGATTTGGTGCAATGTGTCTAGCCTCGTCCCTCAATACAACTGGGGCTGAAGCGCATTATGGTACACGATTCGTGTACCAATGTTAAAAAAATTATTTTATCTTAAATATCGGATATCAGAAGCTCATCTTTTCCCGGTAAGTTTACATCATCAATGTTGATTTAAATTGACCAATAATTCGTGTTTTCGATGTCGAAGATTTTGGAGGATTTTGAGTTACGGACTTAGGTCCTTTAAGTCATAATTTTACCAGTGATGGTAAATTGGATGGTCATAAGCGAACTGTCGACCTCTTCAAGTCATTATTTACCAGTGATGGTAATTTGGATCGATCATTATGTAAGTGAACCTCTTTCTCGGAAACCCATTTTCCGTTGTGCAACTACTGCTGTTTATGTACTGTCATGTCTTTCAAGGTTTCCATGGTGAGGTAATAAAACAAAGTCTTCTGTGTTTTATCAAGGTAGTAAATCACCAGGAGTTTTTCTACATAATTGAAGATTACTTATATCATCGCTAAAACTAAAAAGTCAACAGTGACAAACTTTTTACTCTCCAGCAGTAGTGGACCAAAAGAAACAGTGGGTTTCCAATGAGGAGGCAGTGGGTGACCGGTGTTATTTGTGAGACATTCATACTTGTGACATATCTCAATATGTGCTAAGCGAATTATATAATCATGTTATTTATTATGTTTGTAACATTATTTTTTGTTGAATATATATTTTTGTTTTTTGTAATATATATATTATTTTTGTGGTTATAGACTTATTAATACTGTAAGCTTATTGTTAGAAACAACATATAGCTTGATAAAAACAGCTGACTGACTGCATGCAGGATACATTAGCTTAAAGGTCACAGCTAGTTTCTTCTTTTATCCATTCTGCCCAAAGAGAACTATTTGTAAATACATTGAGAATAGATCTCTGGCCTGAATGGTTGCCATGTTGAATAATTATTGTACTATTTTGTTATAAGGTTCTAATCCATGTTACATCTTTCATACACACGAAGACTAAATAAATATTTTCAATGTTATTAAATATGAAAATGGAAGCATTCAAAAATATTCTCAAAGTTACTTAGTGTTTTCTACTAAAATCGTTGATATAGAAATTAAAATGTCTGTCAACTAGCTTTGTGTCTTTTTCTCAAGCAGATCTCCTTGAGTAGGTATAGTATGGTTGTGCAAATGTACAGTATAGATACATGTAGCCATCTTGTTCTACAATCTTTTAGTGATGTGTTATTAATAGAAAGAGTTTCCCAACAAGAACTTATAATTTATGTTATTTTAGGCAACAAATACAGTTGATCTGACAGTTTGCATGTTGTCAAATGTTTTTTTTTATCAGTTTGGTTTACCTATAGTGCGGTCTTCCCGCACTTAGTAAAACCTAGAAAGGTTCCATGTATATCGTAACATTCACTATCAAACAAACATAATCGAAAATTTTCATTTCATTCATGTTTACCTAATGCTGTGTAACAGTAGAAGTTAAAATAAATTAATTTAATATTGCATTGGTTTGTTTTTAATTATTTATTTTTTGAAAATACCCTCTGAATGAAACACGAAATGAATGTATAATTTTGTATCACATATATATACAATGTACGTTTCATGAATTAACCATTAAAATTCTTTTTAATTTAAGGCCTAAAGAAAGACCTGCAATAGGCAGATTTAGCAGTTAGATTTTGCAAAATGTATGTTTAAGCGAAGATCATATTCTATCACACATTCTTATACCTCTTGTTGGGAGGGTTGGATGGCTGAATGGTTAGTGTACGCGCGCTGTATCATAAAGTCTGTCATTGAGTCGACTGGCGTGATTTCGAATCCCCGGTTGTACGTGACAAGGAGTAGGGTCGCCTGTCCAACCTCGTGGGTTTTCTCCGGGTCCTCCGGTTTCCTCCCACTGCTAAAGACCCCTATGCGCAAGCAAATTATTGGAATAAAATTAAACCATATGTTAGTCCCAAAATGAACTAGTTTGTGTCGAGTGGACATTAAACCCCACCTCTCTCAAGACTAACATGTAGTTCAATTTTATTCCAATAATTCGCTTATACGTAGGGGTGTTTAGCTGTTGGAGGACCCAGAGAAAACCACAAGATTGGATGTAGGTGACCCTATCCCTTAGTCACATACAAGTAGGGAATTGAAACCACACCACTTGACTCAATGACAGACATGATTTGACCATTTGTTCACAACCCTGATCAGTGAAAAGTTATTTCTTACAATCAGCTAGAACAATTTATCCATGACAATATTATCATAATGTCAACATTTTAAAACCAACTTAGACTGTCTACAGTTAGTGTGTAGATAGTACATATCTACAGTCGTTGTGTATTTAGTATATGTTGGCCTATATACTGTTTCATTTTAATATCTCATTTAAGGATCCATTATGTAAGATCATCCGGACCTTATAATATTATAAGGTCCATGGTAAGATTTAGATAAAGAACTGGCCGTTCTTGCTCTAATAATTTAAAAATAGATAATACAAAGTTAATATATTGAAAATTTCATTCAAATTAGTTTATTCAGTGTTTGAAGTTTTAATAAGAATAGAAGATGATGATCAGTGGCAAGTGATAAACAGAATGTGGGTGTGTCAACAACTCTTAGAAATGGTTCTACTATATACTGATGTCTTCAGTCCTGCTCCAGCCACAGTAGTGGATCATTCCTTTGAGCAAAAAAAAAGTTACTGCCATTAACTCCCTTAATTACCAATTAAACTGACCCCAAACTCTACTTTACATAGCTTAACATATAAAAAAACAATTTCCCATTGAAATAAAGGTGAAACCTAGCTTAACACATGATCAATTCATAAATTTAATAAAATCCAACGTCTACGCAATATTTCTGTCGTTTTTGAAATGGTCAGTGTTCTACTCTTCACTATTTGTAACATAATTACTTATTATTTCCATGCTGATATATGTATTGAAAGTTTTGCAATTGAAGCTATAATTTTTACTTGCACAAAGTCTCAATCCTGAGTGTATCAATTGTAGTGGTGGACAAGACAAGTACAACACTGCTACACATATTGCTGCTAACCAACTCTATGTGAGAAAATTCAACAAAAAAGTGAAACAGAAAAATATTTCTATTTAAAACAATGTTCCATTACAGCTAATTGATTATAAACAATGTTCTATTACAGCTAATTGATTATAAATGTATAAAATATGGACCCATGATAAAACTTTGATCAGGATATAGGCCTACACAACAAGATATGAGTTAATAAACATCAGTTGATCGCGAATCTTGTAAATTTCTTCATTTTAAAACATTTTTTCTGATCTAAGGGCTTACCATGAGTAATATAAACGTAATTTCCTTATTATTCATAATTTTACGTACAGGTAGAAGCTACGCTATGAGTACGTTATTGAATAATAGAACCTATAAAATCTGTCTACGAGATGTCATTAATTATAGGGTTTATAATGAGGGAACATAGCTTTTAAGAAACTCTTTTTTCCTTTAGGCCTAACAAAGATAGCAATTCGAGATCATTGATAGAAAAAAAAGTAGGATAGATCTAGAGTATTACTAAGTAGAAGTACTATTATTTATTGCCAACCCAAGCAGGTCAAATGTCAGCTGATAGAAATCCAATAACAAATCTGATAGCTTTTAAAATTAAATATGTTGCCTTGGTGTTTCGGCAATTCTTTTTTGATACTGTCAATTAGCTCCCAATATAGAAACCCAGAAATAAATAAGGGGTGTTTAAGATATAATAAGGTGCTAAAAATAGTCCAAAATTGCAAATTACCACCG